TAATTTTATTTTATTGGAAGGACACATATTCTACAAAGTACCATAATTTAAATACTTAGAGGTTCTCGTAACTCAAAACAATGAGTTAAAGGTAGAGATATCAAGAAAATTACAATTAGCAAACAAATGCTAATTTGGAGCTGAAATCCTGCTAAAATCTAAGTCGATGTCTGTAAATTTAAAAATTAAAATGTATATGACATTAATACACTCCATCATCCTGTATGGTTCAGAAACATGGGCACTAAAAAAGACAGAGAAAGTAAGACTAGACGCTTTTGAAAGAAAAGTTCAAAGACGAATATATGGACTATATCTCGACCCTCGAACCGGAGAATGGAAAATACGAACCAATGAGGAGCTTCAAAACATGTTCCAAAGACCATGCGTGTCAAGAGAAGCTGCAAAGAGAAAGTTAATGTGGACTGGACACGCCTGTAGGAAAAAGGACATAATGATAAAAGCAGTAATCGAAAAGGAGCCGATAGGAAAAAGGCCGGTAGGCAGACCACGCCTTAGATAGGAAGACTGTGTAAAGAGAGACGTAAAAACAGTAGATCCAAGAGAAAACTGGTTAAGTAAATGAGTATACTATTAAATAAATACTCAAATTATAAATAGTTCTTAATATTAGTACGTCATGTTACACGTCATACTTATGACTTAAAAAGTATAATAAAATTTTTCTTAAATTTAAAAATGTGTTCACTATACAAATTATTTTTATAACCAGGCCTATCCTGAATTATGTTCCTAGACACGCCTCTGCCTATGATCATAGAAATACTTTATGTATATTATATATAGGGCAGAGGATTTGTAGCATATGCATATTTGTTTTGCGCGGTCACAAAAACAGCGGAGTATGAAACAAGTACGTTTCGTGCTTTAACAAAACTAGTTTTGAAATTTTATTTTCCTTAAGGCGCGTACACACGAATGAAAATTGTGCGATGTTCGAAGTGAGCTCACTCGAACGCGAACGAGCACGCATGAGCATTCGGACGAATTCTGTTTGTTCGCGTGGACACAAAATGTATGTGTGACGCACAAAATATACTATGCGTAGCTGTTCGAGCCCATTCCAAAGTTGAGCACTGTTGTTGAAGTCCTTTACCTGTTTGTATCGTTTGTGGTGAAAAGTTAAGCAATGAAGCAATGATACCCAGTAAATTGAAAAGGCATTTAACAACAAAACATCCGGGTGAGTCATTAAAAACACGACTATATTTTGAACGCCTTCTAAATTCAAATAAAAGAGCTGCATCTAATATGATAAAAAGAGTGACTATATCTGATAAAGCTCTTGAAGCATCATTTAAAGTCGCAGAACTGATTGCTAAAAATATGAACTCTCATGTTATTGGCGAAAAATTAATAGAATCTGCCTGTTTAGTTATGGTTGAAACAATGTTAGGTAAAGAATCTAAAGATGTTATATCAAAAGTGACACTTTCCAACAATACTATTAGTCACCGAATAAATTAAATGGCTGATGATATTAATGACATTGTTTTAGAAAAAATTAAAAATCAAAAATTATTTTTATTTCACCGAGAAGCTCTGGTTGTAAAAACATTAGGAGAAAAAATGTTAAAAGTCTTAAATGATGTTATTAAAATTGTGAATTACATTAAATTTCGGCCATTGAAAACAAGGATTTTTGAAACTATTTGTAAGGAAATGGGTTCGGATCATATACATTTATTGCTACCCACAGAAGTAAAGTGGCTATTACGAGGTCAAGTGTTTAATCGAGATATTGAATTGAAAGAAGAATGAGAATTATTTTTTGAAAAAAAAAAATCTCCCAGTATATAAAATTTTTTTTCGAAATGAAAACTGGTGTTATATTTTGGCATACTTGGCTGATATATTTAAAAAACTAAATGATCTGAATGCGTCAATGCAAGGACGTTAGGAAACAATAATTTCTTCGACGAACAAAATCAGAGGGTTCAAAAACAAAATTGTATTTTGGAAATCTTCAATAATTAAAGGGGATTTTTCAAATTTTCCAACATTTTCAAAATTAACGATAGGGAAATTCAATATTAAAGAACTACAACAACTTATAATTGAACATCTTATATTACTCGAAGAAAAAATTGAACATTATTTTCCATCGTTGACAACATCTGCAGATTGGGTCGTGTTGCCATTTGATTTTACAGACAATATGAATGAACTTGATCTTACTAATGACGAAAAGAATGAATTCATTGATATGTGTTCTAGTTCTACTATCCGAATATTATTTAATAGTCAGAAAAGTAACATGGATTCCTTCTGGTTAAATTTAGCTTCAGAATATCCATATATTTCTCAGAAAGTGATACTATTGTTATTACCATTTTCTACATCATATCTTTGTGAACAGACATTTTCTGCTCTGAACAATATAAAAACAAGTAGTAGAAATCGTTTAAAAAATGTTGAACCTGATTTGTGTCTTGTTGTTTCAACTGTTTCACCCCAAATAGAGGAATTGTATTAAAAATACCAGTCTCAAATATCACATTAAATTTGTATCATTAAAATATTAAACAAAAACAATTTATTATTTATAATATATTAAGTTTCAGATTATAATTTTTTTTTTTTTTTTAATTTACATTATATTTAAGTTTCACATAATTTTTTATTTTTTTTTTATCAAAATTAATGAATAAAAATATTGGAATTTTAAAATATTACTGTAGTTTGTATTTCTACAACTTCTATTTAATATAAGTATCTTGTGAATATTATAATTAGATAATGTTAAAAATACTAAAAAAAGCATTTTTTAGAAGAACAATGACACAATTGTGATTTTTTTTATTAATTATTTATTTGTGTGCCGTGAAATTTTTTAAAATGATCAAGTGCACCGTTAGGTAAAAAACGTTGGGAATCCCTGGTTTATATGGTCGAAGGGCTGTTACATAGAGTTACTCTATGGGCTGTTATCAATATATCATATTAAATAACTATAATACAATAATAATATTATTATAATAATGAGTAATGAATCAAACTATTCAAAATTTAACTGCATACTTTCTATGTAAATAATATATTGTTATTTTAATTTAGTTGTTAAATAATAATGTTCAGTTTCGTTATCATTTTTTTTTATAGTAGAATATTATTGAGATGTTTAGTTTCAACTCTAGTATAATGTTCTATTTATACATTATATTTTTTCATATGTATTTTATAGTTACTACGTATTTACAATTATAACCATAAACAAATTAATAAAAGTAATATGAACCTCGTGCGAATCGCAAAATCTCGAATAGGTAAAAGTTGCGAAACAGCATTAGCGACCAAATGTATCCAGCCATTCAGTATATACGCTCCGCTTATATTTGTTACTATCATTTACTTTGTCTCAGTGCATTTTATAAGGAATTTTCACTGGGCGACAAAACTGTTTTTCTCAAAATAGTCAATGTAATACCATAGTACGATTATAGTATTACACGTTTGTTTCGCATTATTTCGCTCAATCTTTTAAAATATTTTCGACAGAGTATAATCACTGGGCGACATTTGTGTCGCCTAGTTAACTAGTTAAAAAATGCACTGCTTTGTCTATGTTGATGTTAAATTACAAAGTGTTAAATAAAATATCAGTAATACCATAATAAGTATTCTTGATAAAGTTATTAATCCAACTCTAAAATCCTTACATCCTAATATTGTGTAACCGTATTGAACTCACAACTCGGCACACTACACTAGTTGGTTTTGATAATTCATACTTGAACTTACTATTAAGATAATGTCATTTATATAGATATAGATTATATTGAATTTTTATGTTAAGATGTTTGTGAATTGTATTGTTAACACTCAATAAAACATTTAGTAAATGCCTTTGTATAATAAATTTTGATAAAGTCTGGTTTGTGCAATGTTCAAATAGGTAATTGGGTAAATGTAGATATAAATAAACATTATTAAAAGCCATCTCAACATATTAGATAGTTATTGCTGTTTTGATATTTTTTTTTCAAATGTATTTGGTATATATAATCATTCACTGAAATGGTCGAAGCACAAAAAAAAGTGTAAGATACGTATGTATGTTCAAATTTTGAATAGTTTAATTCAAAACTCATTATTATAATAAAATTATTATCGTATTATAGTGATTTGATATTATATATTGATAACAGCCCATAGAGTAACTATGTTAACAGCCCTGCGACCATATAAACTATAGGTTATATGGTCAAAGTAACAGCCTAAAGCGGCCCATACACGTTCGATATTATTGAGAAATTATTAAACATAATATCATTATCAAATTACCAAGTCCGTTATCAAATAGTAAATCAGATTTAAATTCCCTTTAAACAATTTATTCATTTTAATTATAAACAATTATGTCAGATAATTTAGATAATACTATAATAGCTCTTGCTCTAGCTATTTTTTTTCTTGATAAACGAAAGAAAAAACGGAAGCAGAGGTTTTGGGCTAATGAGAGATTGCAAAAGCGAAATAAGTATAATTATGAAAATCTGTTATCTGAGTTACGATTAAACCAACCTGAAGACTATTGAATTTTTATTAAGATTGAACGAGTCATGCTATGATGAACTTTTAAATTCAGTTACTCCATTAATAAAAAAACAAAATACAATAATGCGAGAATCGATTTCAGCCAGCCATTGACAGTACGCCAATAAAAATCAAATATTTTTAATTTGTTCAGTATTATTGATCAATCTTTTAATACTGCCAATACACGATCAATATTATTGACAATATCAAATATTGATCAATATTATTGACCGAGTATGGGCCGCTTAACATTATGATAGTGGTGAGTAAATTACGCGCATGCGCAGAATGCATAAGGTGCATCCTTGTGTTTTAACCTAACTTAACTAACATAGTATAAGGTATATGGTTATGGTATATGGTATATCACCTATACCATATAATATAATTATATTCTATGACCATAGTATTGCAAAACACCGATAAAGTAACTAATGATAACATTGACCGCGTTAAGTAACTACTATCATAGATATATTGTTACTTGTTAGTCCTTACAAAATATTACATATAATATAATTACATATATTATCGAAATTTAAACACTTCCATCACGCACGTGACAACTGTTCTCAGCCGATTTAGATGTAAGTTAATTTTTGTATTTATATTTTAGCCTTTAATTAATAACTTTTAGTTATTGATTATACTGCTAACATTTATTTATTATTAATTAATAAGCAATGCCCTTTGAATATTTAGGTAAATACATTGTTTATTTAAATAGCAATAGACCGTAGACATAATAATTTAAGCATTTAAAAAAAAATTTGTTATTTATACATATTTATATATGTTATTTGCACAACATTGCTTATATGTTGAATTGACGATCATCCAATTATTGTCCAAGTCAGTCAACTCTTTAACTACTATTTCTTTGAATGTTAGTATTATAATTTTTTAGCTCCTATAATAATAATTAATCTTGCGGCTTTAAAATAAAAATATTGTATTTGATTATTAATAAACAAGTAAACACAATATTCTATACATTCTAAGTAGTTTGTATATATTTTTCTTTTGACAGATATATTATTGTATAAAAATATAATTTATACATTGAAATACATATATTATAATGGCGACTGAATTGAAAACAACCAGTGAAGAGAAATTAAACGCAGGCATGAAGTCAATTTTAAATGATTTAGAAGTTGCCTGTGATAAACTCAAATTATTAGATGGCAATGATGAATTATACAATGAATTGCAAGATATGGCTAAATCATTATCAACTGAAGTAGAAAATGGTGATTATGTAAAAAATATCTTAAAACTCAAAGAATCTGTAAAAAGCGAACAGTTATTTTACTTAAATAAAACAGGAATCTCCTTTGACACTTTATTAGAAAATGAATATTTAGAAACAGCAGCAAATATATTATTGGAAACTGGTGTATATGATTATAGTTCAACTACACTCTTTCTTGAGTATATGTCAATGATTGAAAAATATGAAGAACAAAAAAAATTTATTGACGATGTTGATGAACGAATAAACCAACTAAAAATAGTAATTGAAAAACAAAATGATACTAAACGTGAACTGTCCAATATACATTTTTCACCTGCAGAGTTTACATTTGAACCAATTCAAATAAATCCAATTAAAAGTGTACAACCTATTGAAAATCGTAAGGAAATTGTGGAACTATTAAAAAAGATTGATGATATTGAAAAAAAGCAAGCGTATATCTGTGAAAAAACTGCTACATTGAAATCGGAGCAGAAAAAATTGTACCATGGATTACCACCAAATATGGATCAAGCATTAATGGCAGTTAAAATAGCAGAGGAAACAATGAAGTCTGTATCCAAAGAATTGGTAAAAAAACTTGAAAAATAATAATTGTATAATAATTCATCAGCAAGATATCTATGTTAACTATAATGAAATATATAATGTAATATAAAAATAATGTTATTGTCATTATTTGTATTTTTATGTAGTTTAATATTTCAAGTTTGGATTTATACTAGATAATGATTTGTAGTATGATTTATCTACATAGATATTACATAGTAAATAATCTTATTTTGTATTTTTATACTATTATATTGAATTTATTACTAAATTAATATTAAAAACTATTTAATACATTAAACCTTTGTTATAACTTATTGTATTTTTATTGTTTGGGATTAAAATATGTCCACAATTTTCGTTTTATATAAATCATTAATGTCTTCAATCAAATCCATTATACAGTGAATAAATGTCCTAGTTTTAAAAAGATGATTTTTTTGATAATGATAATGAAAATAAATCTAAAATATTTGGAATTGTTTAAGTCATAATTTTTCCAAAAGCATTTTATTGGTAAATACTACAATTGACAATCATATCATACTCAAATTTGTTTTTCAAATATTTTTCAATTAAATAGTTTTTAAAAATATTCCGCCATTTACTTTATGTCACCAGATGTTTTTTTATTTTTTAAATATCTTAAGATAAATATTCATAAATTATCATTTTTAATTTTTTAGTAATTAATTCATTATGGATTTTGAAAAGACAACTATGGAATACTTATTCCTTGTAGAAAAACAGGCGGAAAAAATACTCGTTGACAAAAGCGAAATTGTTGCTTTGGATAAAAGAAGAAATAATAATCGGATGGCTATTAGAGCATTAATTAACTGTAAGACACCACATGATAAGATATGGATGGCTGCTGGATCATGTATGGTGAAAGTACCCATTAAAAAAGCAAAAACTTTACTAGAAGAAGGTATATTTTGGTAAATTATCTATTTCTTAAGTTTATATACTAAAAATACTTAAATCATTTTGCAGAACAAATAACATTGGACTGTCGTATTAATGTTTTGCGCAGTGAAATTAAAGTTAACATGCAGAAACTGAGAGATATGGAATATAAAGAACCAATAAAAGGATTATTTTTGAATCCACTTACTAAAAAAGAAATGAAAGCAATGAATCAAGTTCTAGGTGTAGATAATTAATATTCGGGCTCTTAATTAAAAATTAATAAATATTAAATTGAATTCGAACGTGTTAAACTTATTTCTTAATATTTTATTTTTGTACTATTATTAAAATAAAGTAATAAAATATATATAAATAGTATGTTTTTGTTAACATGTAACATAATTTATTAGTTAGGTATGTTTATATACCTTAAAAAATAATTAGTTATTTCATGGTCTGACAATGTTATAATGTTCATAAAAATGTTTCAATAATACATGCAATGTTTGCTTATTTCAAATTTTTCATAAAATAACTTCCCCTAAAGGAAGTTTTAACAATTTTGTTGTAATAACAATGAAACTTATTCTACAAATAATAATAATATTAAAGTACATAACTTAATTCTTAATAATAACTTCAAAGCCATTTTTAATTTGTTCCTAGTACAGAAAAGTAAGCAACATTAACTAAAATAAAATTATCTAATTATAAATAAATAATTTATTTTTCATTTTTTGCAATTATGAAATAACATGAATAAATAAAATATGAATTAATAAATAATAGAAAAAAAAATACTGGTATAAAAATTATATTTGATATTAATTTTCAAACAAAATGATATGGAATAATTTTGTTTTTGTTATTTATACATAGGCGCAACTAGGGGGGTGCTTGGTGTGCTATAGCACCCCCAGGCTCTAATTTAGCACCCCCAATTAAAAAATTAATAATTGAAAAATTTTGTGAAAAAATAGTGTTTTTCTTATTTCATACAGTTATTTTTATTTGATGCTTTTATCAAAAAGATGAATTGTTCATGACTATTAGTTAATTACAACGTTAGAATTATTTGAAAAATATTCCACAAGTCATCGCAAGATAATACCAGTTTAAATATTATATGTTGTATATTGTATAATATTTTTTTAATTTGTATAATTTTTAGTGCTGTATGATCTAAATAAAATAATATAATGAAATAAATAGGTATGTTACAATTTATGCTTATTAATATTTATGAATTAAAATATTAGTGTATGTGTGTTGTTATGATATATTTAATGATTAAATTGAGATAAGGTACTTGGGGGAGAGGGAATGTTGGCAAAGCCCCCCACGGGTTAGTGCGAGCTATGTAATTTCAGCACCCCCAATATTTGGACTCTAGTTGCACCTATATATTTATATAACATACAATTTAAATAGATACATTTTTTATGAAATTATATATTATATTATTTTAGAAATACCAGAAATATTAATTGAACATGATTGAGATCAGTATTATTGAGTACTACAGGTTTTATGATATATAACACCAAGCATTAGAATCTATCAAGTAAACCTTGAGTACCAGTTTACTAAATGTTCATATAAAAATAAGTAATTAAACTTTAAACATACATAGCTTTTAAATCATTTTTACACTAAATATTGTATACAAATGTAAATAAAATAATTTTTTTTCTTATATCTTAGATAAGCAGTTCTCATATAGACAATTAATGGGGGGGGGGAGTGGAATAAAAATTGTATACATTTTTAAACCATTTTTTTTTCATACAAATAAAAACATTTAAAAATAAAAATAATCATCAATATAAATTGTGCTATATTTTATTTTAATTAATCAAGAAAGACGATATTTTAATTTTTTTTTCCATTTTAGTAAAAAATTAATAATAAAAAATGTTTGAGAACTACTATTTAAATGATTTTGATTGGGAAATCAATCGTACCTTTTATGTAATCTATTATTACAAATACTTTTAAATTGGTGTTTTCAAGAAATTATTTTTATAAATATAAAATATTATGATGTGTTTTATAATATAATTATAAAATAAATACGAACTCGATATATCTTTTAAACAAGTCATAATTAAAAGTTATTTTTATAAAATGTATCCCAGTCTTCTATTTTCATTCTTCTTCTTTGATACATTTTTCAACTATAATTCTTAAACTTGGGTTTTCCATTGCAGCTGCTACACGTTCTTTGTCATTTATTTGTTTGTTAACTTCAAACATAACACCAGATTAATGAATTTACTTATTTTATTTTTTGTAGAAAATAGATGAAAAATTATTTTTCATGAAAATAATTACTTTCTTCTTCAGTAGTATGTGCACCTTCTTTGATGAATATATCTAATTTAACATTTTCCAAAATAGATCGTACAACTTTTATCCTTATACTAAGCCCAATTAAAGTAGCTAAACTGCAGTGTGGTACTGTAGGATTAAATTCAATTCTGACAGTGTATAATTTCAAGTCTTTTCTGGTAATTACCTGGAATTTTTATCTTATTTAGTTTTAGTATTTGCATAGTTTTTAATTTTTGTTCTAATTTATTAAAAGAAATTAAATGAAATTGCTTAAGTTTGTTTACATTCATATTAATTTTACTATTAATATATATTTTTGTTGTAGCAATGACAAGACAAAGTTAATGTAAAATAAATGAATAATAGGACAGGACATGATAATAGTATACTTGAATTGTAAATAAAAATGTTTCTAATATATATACTAACTTCTACTCCATTTTCATAGACAACATTGAGATCCTCCAGAGTTGCTGGTTTCTCCGGATCCTTGATTGTTCTGATAATATCTGTTCAATGAAAAAATGGGAAAAATGTACACCATACACAAACGAACATATTAACAATGTTATTAGGTAACTACAAAGGACTAACCGTAAATTTGTTCCTTCATATCTTTTGTTTTTTCATCAAGCTGTTCATCCGTGGCCTCGCAGACATTCGTATTCATTGGCGCATTACTACTGTCATTTTTCAGATATTTTTCTTGTATGAACCTTTTTGTTTGTTGCATGAGATTGGAAAACATCATCAACAAACTGCTCACGGTCAAAATCATGAGCGAACGTTTTTCGTTACACTCTCTTAGAAATTATTACCGTTTGGAAATATTGTTTTCGTTTCGCAATATGTAAATACATAACACATTGCAAAACTACTGATAACAACATCAGTTTCCACAATAATATTAAACGTGATTACAGTTTATTGATAACGTAATAATTTTCAATTTTCATCAACAGATATGGCCATAGAAAAGAGAGACACAATCAGTGGCGTATTTTGAAACTTATTTTGAGGAGGGTGTCATACCTAATAGGGAAATAATTTTATAAATTAGTATAAAATGCTCTTTATCAACTTATTGTTTAAATACTAAATAATAAAAATAATAATTAATTACTAAATTAAACGTATGATCGTATTAATCATATTTTATATTAATTTATGTTGCGCATAAATACATAGTTAGGGTTACCATACGTCCGGACAGTCCGGATTTGAAAAATGTCCGGATTTTACAAAGATAATCGTTTAACATGGTTATATTGATACAAAATGTTATATCAGATGACAGATTTTTGTGTTTATTCTGTATAAATGTACAATATATTTTTTTTGTTTCTGAAATATATTTTGATTATGGTGATGGGCCTCTAAAATTGTTTGGCTCTGAGCCCCAAATTATCATAATCCGGCCTTGGCCAACTATATGCGATATAGGTGGAAATTCACTTAATACTCTGGGGGTGCTCAAGTCTCTCTAAAATTAACTTATCAGTAACCCGTGGGGGGCTTTGACACCTACACTCCCCATAAATCTCAAATACCTACTTTGCCAAATCTTTTAAAAAAATATTAAAATAAACAGAAACAAATTCATGAAAATAAAAATTTACTTATAAAATAATAATAGGTACATAATATAATTTAGACTTTTATTATATAATAGTTGGTCGAAACAGCACAAATGCACAATGACTATATCATTAGTTATCTAAAAAATAAGTAAGTACCTGATAAATTATTGTATCAGTAATATCTAAATATAGACATAAAAGATTTTAAGTAATAAAAACGATATAATATAATAATATGAATAATGATAAATATTATTTATTTCTAGAATATATTGGCAGTGCTAAATACCCATTTAGAAGATTTTAGCCTATGACGAGCGAGCATAGCGAGCTGCAAATTTTTTGATCATACAAAAAAAAAATGTGGACGGTTCAAATCTTCTTCACCCGGGCCGAAGTGCTCTCAGTCCAGGGACGTATTTAGAAATGTCTTATGGGAGGGGGCATAAACAAAAAGTTCAAAGTATACATAGTTATAACTTTTCCATCTCAAAAAACTATCGTTATTCATAATCAAATAATCAAAATACAAATGTTTGATAGAAACATAACATTTTATTACTCAAATTTATAATAAAACATATTTTTAAATATAATTTTTGTAATTACAATAACTGAAGACGTTTGGGGTGTTTATTAGCATACTCATCAACTACTTCTTCAGGTTTTATAATTATTTCATGGTGCTGCTTAAGCAGTGCTAATCCGTGTAATTAATGTCATCGATTCAATGGTATCATATTATCATTAATAATCCAGTTATTTCACCATGTGCCCGTGCGTGAAAAATAAGAAGGCCTACAAAAATAAATAAAGTATAAAATATGGTAAATGGGAGGGCACGAGCCCCATGGGTCCACCCCTTAAATACGTCCCTGACTATTAATCCCGATTAATCTCCGAATCATGAGTTTGAGCCCCACTGCACATTGTCGAACATCGATCTCGCTTTGGAGTACTCAACTACAGAATAAGATATACAACCTACCTCAAATCTCGTATCTACACTTGAGATATAGATAGGCTTGCATTTGTCCCGGTTTTAAAAGTATGTTCCGGCCATAGACCTTATACTGAGTCCCGGCCGATCATTTAGTTTGTCCCGATTAAAAGAAGCTGAGAGAAATAAATATTTAATATTGTATTATTTAATAATAAAATAGAACAATATTGTATATTACCTATATTATTATATTATGATTATATACAATAATAATGTATTTTTAAACTACAAAATGATATGCTTATTTTTGATTCAATATGAACGTTACATAAAAAAAATAGGGTCATTCAATATGATGTCCTAACTTAGGGATTTCAAAATATGGCTACTCTAGATATAAGAGAACCCACGAATCAGTCTGGTTTTATATGTTAGTTTATTCTCAATACCTGATCGATTGGACTATTCAATTCACACTTTATCAACATCGAATAATTTGCACGCATGAGAACCTTTAATAATATAGAACACAAAACTAATCCGTGTTACGGGCCATCGTAAGTACACCTCTATGTATTTCAACCAAAGACACTCGCCTGTCACCTTAAATAAAATAGCAAAATGCTACCCGAGTTAATTTGCTTTATTGGCCAATATCCTAATGTTAATATATTGTTGATACAATAATTTTGAGAATTGACGTTTTAGAACAGTATCTGTATACATTTTGCACTCCGTCTGAAACATCTGTCCTGTGATGCTAACACTGCGAAACCTTCTAAGTAACGGACACTTCGAATTCTACAGAACTATGGAATGCGAGTAAACGACACCATGTAGATATTAAATAACTACACTTACCTCGAACACTATCACAATAGTGAATTAACCAAATTAAATACTTAATTTCTGTAAACCATTCAGTCAATAATTCATGAATAGGTATTGGGAAACAATTTGCCTGCTGACAGCATCATCAAATTTTCATTTCAAACAAATCAGTAAGGATCATAATATGATGATGATATGATCATATTATGAAATAAGTAATTTGTGAAATTTTTTTTGGAACTCATTTTGAGTAAATTGCATGTTTTGGTTGAAGCTTAGCAATGTACCAAATAAAATATAATATCAATACATTTATAAATTTCATACTTTGTAACTATATTCAATTTCATCATATAATTATTAAAAACAATACATAGAAAAACAATTTTATTATAATTAGAATAAAGCAAGAAAATTATTTTCAAAAAGGAAAAAATAATTTTAACAGATGTAAACAATAAATAATACAGAACAAAAAAAAATCTCCACATGATCATTATACCTTTTCTCTTCTTCCAAATATATCAAATAAGCATCACATTTTATTTATTTCATAACAAATAGAATTTATTTCATTTTAAGAGCAAATAAAATTATTATTTACTAAATGTGAGAGATGAATAACTGTATACAATATATAATTTTTAGATCTAAAAAAAAAAAAAAGAATACATTTTCATTTAATTTTTAACCATGTCTCATTTTTTAGTCGTACCATTAGTTTTCTACAAGTTAAACTGTACCAAAAAATAAAAGGGATGTCAAACAAAATTCTGATGAAAAAATAAAATTATACATATATTACCGACGTGTGGTGTGAAAAAGTAAATGTAGCTTATAGAAACTCAACGAAGACCTAATATTAAGAAGTATTACTTAATGCTAAACAAAAAAAAATTGACAGTCAGTACTGCAAACAAATGCGCTTTTTACGAAATACGACATATTTATCATCTTTGCCCTTAATCTGATACCATTTAAACAGCCATGTAATTAACATTATGATCTTTCTTAATAGAGCTGTTATTTTTCTCAAAGGCTAATATTTATGGTTTTTTTTTTTTTTTTTTTTTTTTAATATTATTATTATTAATTTTATTAAAATTTTTATTGGTAATTTATAAATGACAAACACACTGCTAACCGAACTGTGTATTTTTGTTCATAAAACCTCATAGGGTTATGCACCGTCAATAATTCTGTTTGTCGTAGTAAAAGTATTTAAGGTTTTCAATCCCAAAAGACACTATCAAGTGCCTTAAACATTGGTTATTCACACCCACGGTGTCCAGCCTTCATACAGCAGTGCCAAGTTGTCTGGATTTGTGGCTTCATTTATTACCCAATTCACCTATTAAATCAATGCAATAATTAATAATTTTTAAAAAAAATGAAATTATATTTAATACCAAGATAAGAATTGATTATTAATGTTTGATAGGTTGGACTTTACAAAAATAAAAACTGTTGTCTACTTTTTTATACATTTCGAATAGATTTTTCAATATGTATTAAAATTCTAAAACCACTATCTTAATCAATCAAAAGTTTTAATTTTAATTAAAGTTAAAAAATTTATTTTTAGAAAAATAATAGATTCATTCAACTCATTATTAATTAAAATAACTATTACCTGTTCAGTAACAGTCGATCTACGGCCAGGATCAGGATCTCTACCTTCTAGTTTCATTCTTACACGTCTCCAAACACTTACAGCATATGCATTGCATTTTTGAACAGCTATAAGAACAATAAATATAGATTACAATGAATAATTTATATAAAATACATTAATTTTAATTTAAATACCTTTTCCTGTATGAGGATCTCTAGGTAATCCTTTTCTTGGTGATAAACAAATACTATCTTGACGTACCAAAGGTGGACGTTTATGTTGTTTAATAATTAACCCTTTTTCGCCCAAGATTGTTAATAAATCATCATATATTGGAGCTGAAGATAAAATAAAAATATTAATTTAATTTTAGTTAAAATTATTTAATGTAATAATTACATGTTTTTTTATGAAGTGACTGCATAGATTCAAGTAAAATGTTTACTTGATGAATAGTTGGTTCATTAATTGCAGATAATTGATCGATTAATGATACTAAATAGTCCAAATAAGAGTAATATTTTGTGACATAATTTATACTAGCTGTACCAATATTGTCAATCTGAAATACAAATCATTTAAACATTTTAAAAAAATATTTTTTTAACAAAATTAGTTCGGAACTGAAAAATCAAAATTTTGAATAATTTTGATTTTAAATTATAAAACATACAAATATGAATAACATATAAAATATTAATCATTATTTATATTTATCTAAAGTATTAACATTATAATACAATATCCTACAATATTTTAAAGTTATTATTTTTAATATTTACTTTAATTAGTGACTTCAGTAATAATCGAACATCAGATATTATTTTATTATGTGATGACAGAGTGGATTTAAGAACACCTAATTGTTCTTTAATGGAATTTTGTATACAAGCAATTTCAGATCTGAGTGGTTCTTGAGCAGCAATTAATTGTTGGACATTATCTAAAAATTAATATAATAGACATAAAAATTATGAATTTAATGTTAATGAATTATATTTTACTATGCTGTAAAATTATTGTAAGTATTTCCATAGTTAATAATTTGAAACAATAAAAATATTAAATAATATAAAAAATACATTTAAGATGAAATTAAAGCTGATTTACCTGAAATAATTCTAACAGTATTGTTTAGCCAAGTCCACTCAATAGGTCCCTGAGGAATAGGGACCACTTTAATAAGAGTTTCTTCTTCTGGTGTTATTGATATACCAATATTAGAAGCCATGTAACATGCTTTTTGATAATCTTCTACCAACTGTAAAAAGTAGTAAGTATATTGCTTTTAAAAATAAAATGTACACTCTTATTTTACAATTACTCTTTAAGAACTTTTATAAAATCATAATGCATTTTATTAATGTATAATAATAAATAAATACTTGTAAAAATGAAATATCTGCAGAAATAGCTTCTGAAGTACGAGTAAATAGTGATTCTGTTTGCAACAGAGAGCTAACTACTGTAAGTATAGAATTGCATAAGTTTTGATTAGTGTCAATCATAAGTTTTTCATGTTTCATTCTCTCTTCAAAATGATTAGCCATCTAATATATAATAATAAATATAGTCAATAATATAATTCATAACTAAATAAAATTACAACAAATTAATTAAAAACATAAATTTTAGACCTCTACGACAGTTGGATTTGCACCAGAAGCCCATTTTAAACGTTGTTCAACACTAGATGTTAATGAACTTCTGTGTTCCATATGTTCATTGATTTGAGACTGCAAAACTGCCAATGGTGACAATATATTATTCAATTCCATTAAAATTGTAGTCCGATCTAAAATATAAAAAGTATAAAGAAAAACAATAACAATTTTAGTTAAGAATAAACTCACCAGGAATGAGTAAATTGTCTAAATGACCAGCAGCTGGGATAGCATGAAGCCAACAATGGGCTGCATATTGTATAGCTAATCTTTGAGCAGCAATGTCTGATTGATGAGCTCTTTTTGTCAAATGAGCATGAAGTTCATTTTTTCTCCAGATTTCTTCTAATTTTGTTAAAGAAGACGATAAATCCATTGATTGTCCACGATTGAATTTACCAACTTTAATACCTTCTGCCATGCATTTCTTGCAGAGTTCCTCTAATGGAACTTTACTATCTGCCCCAATATCTCTCTTTTCCAGCTCAGCTATCAAACAGAAATTTAAATTTATGAAATATGTGTACAAAACATTTTTAAATAAAATGATGTTTACCATTAATATTAAACCCAGTGTGTTGTAATAAAAAGCAAACATTAACAGCCACTGTATGAGAAAAGAGTCCTAATAATCGTTTGGTTAAATAATCAGCAACAAAACATCTCACAGGTTTGGATATCATGTCTTCATTATAGTGAGAACCACTAAGCCCTTGAATATTTCTTCCACCAAAGTTAATTGCTATTTCAGCGCACATGTTAAAAACTTCTTTCATAGTTAGAAGAGATTTCAAAAACATTATATCATCTAATATACTACAAGGTCCTTCATCCATAACAGCTCCCTGTTATAGATAACAATGTAAATTATTAGTAATCCATAAAAATGTAACTATTTATTCTTACTACTTACAAGTAAAGATTTTGCTTCTCTTATTTGATCAACAGTTTTCCAAGCTGTAGAAACTTTGAGTTTGGATGACATTTTGATAAAATTTTCATTGGCCAAGGAAACATCTTCAAAAAGACCATAAAATCCAATTAAAAGCATTTCACCTTGAGATAATATCACATTCTCAGGTTTCTTTATCAATTCAGCAAATTGTTTTCGTACCTCTAGTACAATGGCTTGACAACCTTCATTTGGAGACTAAAATTTAAATAAAAAAATTATCAATTTCAGAAAGTACAATTATTAAATAATAAACTTTAATGATTTGGGTTTTTTTGTTTTAGGTATGATCTATAATAGAAAAAATATCTACTTTATAAAAACTAAAAAAAGTATCATATTAAATTATAGCTAAAAAAATAAAAATAAGTTAACTACCTTCATTCCCATAATCACATGTCTAAGATGAATGTTGAGTTGTTCAATTAAATCATTGAAACTTAATGAGCAATTATTTATAACATTATTTAGTTCTGTGATTATAGCTATTGTACTTGGTTCTTCAACACATAATTTTTTTATAGTTTCGGGCATGATAATATCCAAAAAGTTGTAGTTAATTTTCTATAAGAAAAATTACAAGTTTTATTATTGTTATGTATCACTTATATCTATTAAACAGTATATAAATATTCTATAATAATATTTTATACCTGTAAACTACAGTAAAGATTTTGTACGGCACGTAAGCAATTAAAAGCATAGGCCAAGTCAGTATCCGATTCAATTTTATCATTATTAGTTAAAACTGATGACACCATTCTAACAGCAATAGTAGTTATCATATACATATCAACCAAAATCCATTCTCCATCTTTGGAAGTCATATCTAGCAGCTGTGTACCTGCATCTATATAACCAAAATTAAATTATAAATGTTAACAAGTTTTTTTATTCATATCAGCGAATCCCAAACTTTTTCAGCCACAGAGCCTTTTTTCAAGCAGTATTTTCTTGTGGAGCCCCAAAAAATCTTTAATATTAAGTTTTATTTGGCTGTGTTCTGTGAAGCATAAACACATGATTTGTATCTATATAGGAGGAAACTCAAAAGGAGATAATGATATTTATCTATATATAGATCTATCTATAGATAATATATTTGATATTATCTATATTTACAATATAATTGGCCGGGTGATAACTGAATGAGTACTTTCTAAGACTCAAAAATTATATTTAAAATAATTAAATATATAATGATAATTATTGGGATTTTAATGTTGTTTGTATATATAGGGACTGAACTAGGGGGAAGAAAATGAAGATGGAATTTATGTAGTATATAATCTATTATTGACTACTAGTATCATATTTTTAACTTTGTTACTGATAATGTATTTAAGACTCAATAAGTATGATTGTATGCTAATAATTATAAAAAAAATTGTAGAGAAAGGTATTTTATTTTTGATCTATGATAGGGTGTAATTTTAACATTTTCCCTGGGCGTAAAATTCCTAGTTCTGCCTCTGTGTATATGTACAACTAAATTATATTTGATTTGACAGAGTCTAGTAAACATATATATGCTTGTTGTTTAAAATAACGATCAACACTTGTTATATTATTAAATTTTTTTATGGTAAAATTAATGGAGCCCTTGAGAAACAATTGCGGAGCCCTAAAGGCTCTACGTAACATAGTTTGAGAATTGCTGATTTATATGATAAGCTTACTTGAAGTTGAAGTTTCCATCATTAAAAATTTTTTATTAATGGCGCATAAACCAGTGGCAATGACAAATTCTAAGCCTTCATTTGAGTTTTCATTTATTTTAATCATAGAATTATCATTATTTAATAATGAACACGTTACTTCGTTTTCTGTGTCAATTAATCTAATTCGGTCTAAAATTTTAGCAGTACGCCGACTAGTTTCTAAAGCTGCTTTCTGTAATTGCATATTATAAGCTAATGTTTGTGGTGTTGGGGGCTCAGCATTAGGAACGCCCAAGTATAACATTTTATGTTCTTCTTTAATTTGTTCACACATTGATGTAGTTGGGCAATCTATTAATAATTGTAACCACTGTCTATAGTATGTCAGCCGATGATTACGTATGTGTGATATTGGGAAAAGATTCATTAAACATTGTATATCATAAAGCAATCTCAAACATAAAGTAAGCAGTTTGCTTCTCTGGTGACACAAAACGGTTAAATCATCATTTGATTGTGTACACTGAAAACATATTAATTTAAAAATATTACATAAAAAATAAAATAAATATTTTTCAATATTTAAATAAGTACTGTTTATTACTTGTTCAATCAAAATAGGTTGACCAGCATTTTGTAAAAATTCTTTGACATTCTCTAACAAAAGATTGTTAAAAGCTTGAATTGATCTAGATTCTTCCTTGTCAATTAGTATGCGAATTTGACTACTTCCAAGAAAACGAACAGCCATTTCATACTGTGATAGCCGTGAGTCACAGTCTTCAATTTTTTGTCTTAAAGACATTGTTGCACCAATCATCATATTTTGTGTTTGTTGTAATGCAAAGTATCGTTCTGGTAATTTATACAATGGATGTTGACCTGCCGGTGATGCTTCTGCTTCTTTAACCAATGCCATTAATTGATGACTTTCTGCTAAACCTTCTTCCATTTTTTGTAATTTTTCTTTTTCCAACAAATAACTATTTAATCTTCCCATAATATTGGTCAATGACTCCAACATACAATCTCTGAAATAATTTATTTAAACTGTTAAGTAATATATATAAATATTTTGATGCCTATTTACCTATTGTTTAACCATTCATATTTAGCTTCTGTAATGCGAACATGAAGCATAGCTAATGTTATTTCTTTTTCTAGTTGTTTTCTATTTAACCGGTTTTCTATTAAAAGCGTTCGACCTCCTCCATAAACAGCACCTGTGTATCCAGTTTCATTGCCAGGAGTCCAGTCAATAAGAGGATCATAAACAAAAGCTTCTAACAATGTTAACAATGTTTCTTTATTTTTCCTCAATACTTTCATTACTTGTTCACATGTTAAACGGAATTTACCCTAATTCAAGTTAAAAAAAAATGATTTATAATTAATAATACAATTATTAATTAATAATAAAACTTAGTTTTGCTCAAGATAAAACATATAATATAACAAATTACCTCAATTCCAGTAACTCCAAGTGCTTCTTTTAAATTTGGAGTAAGCCTAAAAGGAACTTTCTCTGGTACGCGCAATGTTTTGCCTTTTTCAAAACAAACATTATAATCAATATGTACTACCTAAAAAACAAAGAGTTTAAAAAAAATATTTACTTAATTTATAATAAATGTAAAGAGAACCAAAATTTATTCTATATCTCACATATTTATAATATGCAGTTTACCGACCCATAAACTTGGTTAAATGACAAGTTGAATAAGTATTTTTTTAAATGTAACATACATTTTGAAGTAGTATAATTCTCAATAACTATTAACTAATAAGTAAAACTAAAATGCATTAATTAAAATAAAAACTATATATGCTTTCATTTGAATTTTAAATTATTATTTTAATTTTTTAACAAAGTATAAGTTTTAATCTATTTTCTTATGTACCATCCGATTATGCAATTATGAATTATAAGTACAATTATTTAACAAGATTTAAGTATAATACAATAAAATTTATAATAATAATGTTATATAAGTATTACAATGATAAAAGTTAACAAACCTCTCCAGTTTGTAAATTAACAAGTACATTATCCAAATGCCTATCACCTAGGCCTATAATATACCCAATAACAGACATAACAGCCAATGATGTTGCATATAATGATGTAGATTGCCACCAAGAACCAGAATCAATACTTTGGGTCCATAGCTCACTAAAAGAAATCACAAACAAGTTTGAGATTATATTCAGTATTATTTAATATTACAGACAAGTTTCAATAACTCAAATTAAACTGTAGATAATATTAAACATATTTTAGTGTTAATTTATCTCGATAAATCAATTTTTTTTTTCAACCCATTTTAGATTAGTATTATTGGAACCTAATTGTATGAATATAAAACATACTTAGAAAGTAAATTTTTGGGAGTTTCATTCATCAAAATCATTAATACTTCTTTTAAGATATTCAATGGCCACTCTTTTCTATTTTCAATATTGGTAATTCCTTTATCCTTCAACAGAGGTATTAATTTAGAATTAAACAATTCCGAAGGACGCATAATTACACCTATAGCAACATAAAAATGTACAATATTTAATTTTATCAATTAGACTTAATACATTTTTAATTATTACCATCATTGTTAGAAGCCTGTCTTTGTTGCCATCTCTTGTATAACATAAATATAGGCACAACACCATCAACCCAAGATATTAAACCAGATCTGGGTCCTAATGGTATAACAGGATAATGGTGAGCCCTATAATGATCAGAAGATCCACTAAATAATGTGTTAGTTATACACAAAAGTTGCATTATTCGTTCATCCAAATGAAGATCTTCTAATCCTTTAAACAAGTATGTGTATACTTTGCCATCAGATCCATAAAATATTAATTTCTTAGGTTTAGTAAATGTTGGCAAAATAGCCACATTATTATGAATAGAAGCAACAGTTACAACTCGTTCTACACCAGGCATGGCAATTTTTGTATCTCTAAGATTGGCAAGAACTGGACTAATTGTTTCCATTTTTAAAGAATACGATCCTCTTTTACTTATACGGGATTGAAGATTACTTTGCAAATTTTTAATTGATTTCCATACTTCTTGTACATTGATATTCATTGATTCGGTAGGTCTTCGTAGCTTATCTAACATATGACTAATATATGATCCTACAAATTAATAAAAATAAGTTAATAAAAAACCATAAAAAATTGAATTGCAAAAATATTACCAAATTTTTCTTGAAACCATTCTTCATGAGGAGTTTCAGCTTTCACTGAAGTAATTGCATGTAGTTGTTCAAATATAAAAAGAATCTATATAAAAGAAATTTTAAATTATTTTCAAAAATAAAAAATATTAATAAAAATAAAACTACCGGTCTAAGTAACATGGTATATTTTTCTACAGCGATGTGTTCTTTTTCAACATCTGTGAGATGCGGATGATTTTCAGTTTTGTTCAATTCAGCTTCTAACTGATTAATACGTCTACTAATGTCAGCTTGTCTCTGCACTAAAGTACCCAGCCATAATTCATCCCATAATAATGTAATTCTTCTCAGTTCAGAAACTAAAACTCTTACTTCAGAAATCATTTCACCAGCCTTAACAAAATTTGATTATTTTTTAATATTCTTTATTTAATGAGTTATGAAAAGCAATAACAATGAAACTTTGATAAAATAGGGGAAAATGGCCACAATTAACAATAAGTTTTATTGTATTTTATATATTTAAAAAAATTTCAAGTTTACTATTTGAACATAAGCTAGTATAATGCCATGATAAATTAAGACACTGAATATTATTTCTTCTTAAATTTAGTTTTATTTTTTAATATCAACCAAAGAATTATACTTAAAACAATATAATTTTAATACTTATTGATTCATCAAATTAAAAATAATATTCAAAAATAAAGTATAGAAAATTAAATTCGACTTTTACTTTAATTGAAAAATATATAAAATGCCACTTGATATGCTTTTTATATAATTTAATACTAAATATATGTTATGACTAATAAGAAGTATTAAAAATAATCAACTTTTTTCACAATACCTGTTTTGATAAAGTATTGACCATTGAATGGAAACAGTCTTCTAAAACCATAGCCTGTTCATCTTGTCCAATTTTTAATTCATCATCATCTTCTTCAGTACTATCAAATTCATCACGAACAGAAATTGTTTCGTCTCCTATCTCTTTACTGGATTTCAACAAACTAGAAGAAGGCATCTCATTTATAGTCCTAAGACCTGTATCAGATCCAACAACTGCTGGGAATGTAATCAAATGTGGCACATCAATAGCCAATCGACAAAGTAGTTCAGATACAGTACGTCTAACATAAGGTTCAGGATGAGAAAGTCTAGAAAATAATTGTGGTATAATAGAACGCCATGGCTGAGTTGGAGTATTGCTCAAGCCTTCTTCTAATGAACCCTGGAGTTCAAGAGCATGTTTAACAGTAAGACGTAATAATCTCAATGTAGCAGCAATAGACTTCTCCTAAATATATATTTAATATTTTAATATTTAAATATTTAAGTATAAATATTCATAAAAGTTAAAATAATTTAATATGATAAAGCAAATGTTAAGTAAATCAAAATATATAAATTAAAAAAAGCTTTCAAAATTCAAGTAAATGGTTAATGAATAATTTTCAATCCAAGTGAATATTTAAAAAACTTTTTTGAAAAACTCTAGAGATCTAATAAATAATAATATATAAGATTTATTAACCTGATGATTGTCACACAATTGTAGAAATTTAAAATAAGCTTGAGCAGATAATTGGTAATAGCCATAAATCCTTGAATGTGATTTTCTCCACCAATCAATTAATCCAGACAATTCATTATCTTCAAAGTGTAGAACATTCTGTAATTGATATTCTAGTGTTTCAGTAGTGTAAATATGTTCACTCTGAAATAAATAATAATTAATTAGTAGTTTATACTTAAAAAAATTCACAAAAAATATAAATATACCAAAGATAAATATAATATTACTCCAAAAATAAATGATTGATTAAAATTCATTTTTTTACTTAATAGTATGCTTTAATTCATAAAAAAAATCACAAAAGAATTCTTTAATTCAAATATTTTATGTAAATTAATCATGATTTTAAAACTTAAGATAAATGTATTATTAAAAAGCAACTATAATAATCTGAAATAATAATAACTTGCTAATAATTTATTGAATATTTAAATAAATGTTAACTATTTACTTATTACTAATTTATTTAAATTAATATTATGCTGAAGTATAACATAAAAAATGTATAAATTTTTTAATCCTCAACAAGTATGATTGAATTTCATAAATATCTTACTCCAATATCATCATCATCTTGTGAAGATGTAACTACATTAAGAATAGCATATATTTTTTCCCGATCTTCCTGAGTAGCATGAATAGGAATATAAGCATCCACTGTAGTCATTTCGGAATCATTTAATAAATACATATTTCGTTTGTATGCTTCATCCACAACTTTGCGGCCTAATTTATAACACCAGCCTGCTAATTCATTCCATGCTTTTGCTGTTGATGGACAATATGAAACTGAGATTCTTAAAAGTTGACCAATCATTAATGTTTGTTCATCCATATCACTTGCTGGTGTATAATCAGATTCTGTAACAATGATACAAATATAATTGGTAGTTATAAATTATTTATCTGTGAATCATTAATACAAAATTTAAAGTTCCATGAACTGATACAAGCTTTCAAAGAAAGATATATTATATTATATTTATCTAGGTACATTCATTTCTTTAACAAGTTTGCGGCCCAAGACCTTTTTGAAAATCTAAGAGAAAAATCCAAACCCAATGTAATTAATTTCTAGTTCTACATAATTATACTATTATAGTTTTGACCTTGACATTTTTTTTTACCATTCTTTCTTGTTTTGTAAGTCATGTCACATATTTGTGACACAGGTTTATTTAAAGACACCCCCATGTCATATATATATATAACATGTGGCTGTAAATGTGTAAATAGTTTGCTTTGATGATAGAACCTTCAATGAATCTGACTAAAATATCAAGACATCAGAGAAATATATATGAATTATAAACAAAATAAATATTTTTATATATTTATATAAAAAATTATGCCTAAGATAATTTAAATAATATTTTTGAAATCTTCCCAGATATAATATATTTTTTATATGTATTTATACAAAATTTTTAAGTAATAATTTTTTCTTTTTACAAATAATTCATTTAGTTATATTATAACTATAAGAGCCCTGCTTAGTTACTGCAGTATTTTATATAGTATTTTTATTTTTAAAACTGTAAGTAAAAAGAGTAAAGTAAAAATAAAAATAATTTGTAAATAAGCCATTATGTAAATCTTATTTTCAGAAAATTTGTATTATAATGTAATATATTTTTTAAGGTTAAATTTAAGGCAAAATATATTTCATTAATAATTATTATTCAAGGCAAATTATCAGTATATCTAAAAACAAAAATAATCATAAACATTGTGGATTATTATTAATAGAGATACATTATTAGAGATACATTATTTTTTTCTTGACTATGATTTTATAATTGAAAAAACTTTTGATTTAGTTAATATTAAATTCAAATAATTTATTTTAAAATATTATAATATTTTAAAGCATGGTATGTGAAAAAAATAAATAATACTTACTTATGACTTCTCGAATTAACTGGCCAGTTTTTGATAAATTTTCATTTGAAAAATTTAATAAAATATTAGATTTTTCAATAGATGATTTAATTATTGATTTGTCAGATATATTACATCCGCTATTTAACCATTTTCCTAAGGTAATTAACATTCGAGAACTATTTTCTTTAAGATTTTCATCATTATTTAACTGTGCTTGCTCTAACAGTTTAAAAGCAGATTTCATGCACATTTCTACTCCCAATTCTTCAGAAACACAACTAAAATTAAAGAAACAATAAATAAAACATATAATCAGAAAGTATTCATTCTGAGTTTACTTACTGATGAACAAGTTTAGAGAACTGTCGCACTACTAAGGCATGATTATTTGGCCACAATGCAACATTAGAATCATCTACAAGTAGTTCTCCAATTTTTTGTAATATGCATGAAATTGATTCAGATTTATTTCCCATAGAAGGTAAGTTTATAAAATCATATTCTCTATTTGATCGTAAATACTGAAGCATTCCTCGTGTAGCAAGATTTACGTTGCCTTCTTTGCGAGCAATATGAGCTAACTACACATTAATTTAATATTAAAAATGTTATTTTGTATAATTCTTCATTTTAATTTTACCTTTAAGTATAAAATAGATATATCAGACTTTGGTTTAGGTATCTGATGAGTATCATGTTCGTAATAAAATGATTGATTCTCCAAGAGTTTAGACCAAAACAAAGAATGGCATAATAGACTGGATCTGACTGATTTATTGCTTATATCATTTACCTGATCACATTTATTAACAAATATAAATTATAAGGAAGTAATCAAAATGGAAAAATTAATATACCAAATCAAATTGTATAGGACTATTTTCTAAAAGTGAATTAATTGCATATGATAGTATAGATAATTCTTGAGAGTTTTCCAATAGACTGTCAGTTAAACTTTCTTGTAGAAGATTGAATACTACTTCTCGACAGTCTTCTACAATTAATCTGTTTTTACTAAAGTAAAATATTCAAACAAGTTAGTAATATGAACTAAAAAATAAAATTATAAATTAAAGTGTATAATATATCACTTACTCATCTAATGTTCCTTTAGAAATATTAGTTTTCAATGCTACATACATCAGTCTGCTTTTAATTTGATTTGTAAGGTCATAACAATTCCAATCTGTTTTTATAATTTTTGGATTTTCATCAATAGACCAATTAACTAAATTATCAATACAACTGTAGTTTCCTTCTTCAACATCATTTATAATTTGTAAGTCATTTGCAGATATATATCTCTAAATAACATTTAATATAAATTATAAATTTATTTTAATATATTATAGTAATTATATTTTATTAATATGCCAAAGTTAATACGTTTTGCCAAAAATATTTATCTTTTGTATTTGATGATATTAAGGTTTCTTCGTTCAGTGTCCAATCCATTAATGGTTTCCAATCACAAATGGACATATAACATTCTTTTAACTAGAAAAATATTTTTTTAAGTATAATGAGACTCTATGATACAATAAATATAAGTTATAAAAATTATCATATAATAAATTATTTTAATAATTATAAAATTAACCATAACATAACAGGAATTAATCAATTTTAAGTTTAAATAAATTTTTTTTTTTTAATGTATTTAGACAAAAATATTTAATAGAAAATACTTTACCACATATTTTATAAATATATCAACAACATATTAACTAAAATAAGTAGATTTTATGAGTTTATTAGTATAAAAAAATTATAAATAAATTAAATAAACCATAATCATTAAAATTGCCTAAGATTTTTTTATTTTTATTAATTTGATTTTTAAATAAAAATATTTAATTACCTGTTCAGCAATAAACTTTTGTAATACTTCTATTGGACCATCAATATTATTAATTGGTCCACCTTTAAGATTTATTATTATTTTATCAGTATTTGCTGTAAGTAAATGCATGTAGGATTCAGCAGCTTCTTCAAATCTTTAAAAATTAAAATAGATCAGAAAATTATGAACAAAATGATATATTATATTAGAACTTACTTTCCGCAAGCTTGATCTGCAAGTATATTTAAAAAGGGAAGTTTCAAATGTGCAGCTTCTTTAGACCATACATAAATCCCACGAATACAATCAGATTCTTTTAGTTTATAGTAAGCCCATGCTAATTGAATTAAAGCTAAAATAAATTCTTTAATGGAAAATTCATTTTGTTTTGATAAATTTTCAACCAAATATTGACCATGGCGGATAGCTGAAGAGCTTAAGCCAGAATTTAAGGACACAGCAAGCATTGCACTACGAATTGTTGAATTCCATTCATAACAAGTATTACGGTTTGTATGGAAGAAATGTCTAACAGGCTAAAAAAATAAACAAAAATGAAAGTTTAATTATTAAAATTATTAAACGTACAATTACTATAATAATAACATATTTTAATATAAATATAAAATCAAATTTTAGACCACTACATGTATAAAATATTATGACTTGACATTTAAGAGAGTTCAAATTTTAATTTTTTAAAAGTTGAAAATATTTAAAAGATTCAATATTCTAATACATTATAATAAGAATTAAATAATATAAAAACTATAAAGAAAAATACATCAATTAATAATTAGAACTGATTTATGATGATGTAAAATGTATAAAAACACTTGCTTTTTGTGCAATTGGTAAAGCTGTGGCAGTACCATCAATAGCGTTACAGACAGATTTTTCTAAACATTCTATAAATGCTACCAAATTTCTAGTGTATCTTAGATTATTTAATTCACCATCTGTACTTTTTAATTTTGTATCATCATTTAATGACAGTATTGAATCTCGTGCCCACGATTTTATTCCACCTTTAATAATTTAATCATATTTCATCAAAAGTTAAATGAATGGTAATAAATAATAATAATAAAATATAATTTTAAAACCTTCAATGGCTCGAAAAGTATGATTTGGTTTCCCAAATGGAGTACGTAGACGATTTGTAACACAAAAATTTGCTGCCTCCCAATTGATCCAAAAGTATAATAAAACTCGACAATGTTGAGCATGGGCTAAAAGTTCTACATCACCACTATCATTATCAAAGGAGCAACTGTTTACTACATCCAACAACCAATAGCTAGTCGAATTGCTAAAAATCACAATAAAATTAGTTTTTAAATTTAAAACAATTATTATCAAGTAGATTAATTATATATACTCATTATGGGTATGAGGTTCAATCAATTCACGCATATAATTTTTGAAATGTTCAGTTTGTAATGTGACAATAGTTTTTCGTCTCATATATGAACTCATAATTTGTTTAATTTTCTTATTAAACTTGCTTTTGTGTTTCTATAAAATTAAAGTACATATATAAAAATATATTATAATATTGAAATATAAAATGATATAAGTATAAAAAAAACAAAAAATATTATTTTTAATTAATTATAATTCAATAATAAATAATTAAAATTTACTATTAAAATTTAATCAAATTTAAAAACTTACTAGTGCACAGATTGATAAATTTTGTAAAATGGAGATGAGAGGTATTTTATGAATTAGGGCATAGAATTGTTTACTTATTTTTTTTTCGGTCAAATTGAAACATGAAAGACATAAGTCTAAAATGTCGAAAATTACAAGAGGCTGTAATAAAACAAAAAAAAAATGATTAAATTATTTTTCAATATTTTTATAGTACTAAAAAATTACCTTTGATTGACAAAATTTAGAACTCCCAAGTATAACATTTAATATTCGTGCAATGCCTTCTAATAATAAAATATCATTTCGTTTTGATCCTACATAAATTAAAGAGCGTACAATACAGATCATTTCCTGTGAAAGTAATATAATATTCAAGTAGCTTGCACTTTCAGCATGGATTAGTAGTTCATATATCCATTTTAAAATCAAAATTTTACAGTCTATATTCACATTCTGAAAATCAAAACATAATATATTAAATATGCATGTATAAATTAATTTAAATAAAATAATAAATACCATTTTTAAATATTTTTCAAAAATGTTTAAAATTTTTACAAGATTTCCACTTTTGTGAGAATTAATTTCTAGATTTTGTTGAGATTTCTCACTTATTCGTACAGCAGTTACTAATCCACTACTAGCAACAAAATTATTATGCCTAAAATTAAATAAAAATATAAAATAAATTATTTTAATACAACTATGAAATGAGTTATTATAATATCAAATAGCTAGATTATAGTTAGTCAATAGAGATGGATTTAATTGATTGAATATGAAAGTTAATTCTTGTTTGTTGATTTTGGTTTAACATTCAAATAATTAAAACACATAAAAAACCAAACTTAGATTTCAACTCAACATTTTTTTTTTTTCAAAATAATATTAAGCTATTTTAATAAAAATGTTAAAACTTTTGTAATCTATATTTTTATAGAGTATCTAATTTGATAATAATATGTTCAACAAAATTTAAGTTTCATCAGTTTTCTTAAACAATCAACAAAATAATAAATAATAAAAACTATTATTAGCAATTAATAAAAAAAATCATACTTAAATATATTGGATAAATAAAAATTGTCTTACTTTTTACAATGAGAATATAGCAAAAACATCAATGAAAAACGTAGGGGATCATTCATTTTGATAATAGTTGGATCTAATTTTGATGATAATAGTTCGAAAATACTGGGCTGTAATGCCCACATACCAATTATGGAATTGCTGTCATTGGCTATTTGAAAATAAAAAGTTAAATTCTTTATTAAACAAAATACAAATGTTAGTAATAATTTAAATTTAAAAATGTTATTCATCTTACCGATAACTGTTAGAGATTTCAAAATGATTAAAACAACAACAGATGCTTCTTCATATGTATAACTAACATCTTTAAATGGATTTTCAGAACAGAATGATGGTAAATCAGGATCTAATACTTGACAAGCTTTTTCTAAATCTCCAGTGATATACCTAAACATTAAAAAAGTATAAGTTAAAATAATAAGATTATTTCATACTTGTAATTTTGATCTAGGATAAACAGACGTAAAAAAAATAATATATAAATCAGTAAATAAAATAAATAAGTTACTAATTTTTATTTTAATACGTTAATTTTAATGTCAAAAATATTCATTCAAAAAAACTTCATCGCGGTTTGAATTAATTAATGACATTTTACATGTACACGCAATTTGTACACGACTAATATGGTTATAGATGTGTATTGTCGTCTCTTGTATCATCGTGTTTCGATAATGTGATAATTATTACAAGTTGTAAAAACCAATAAGTTATATATATTGATATAAAAGGTATCTATTGCCAAAATTATAAAATTCGATAAGGTTTGATATTATAATATGATACCATTAATTATATTATGAACATAAAATATCAATGGTTTTATAACTTATAAATATATAATTTTTTTTTTTTATGTCCATTTGTCCTTATTCGTTGTAATTAATATCATTTATATTTAAAATAAATTAAAATACCTGTAAACTATTAGCACCAGAGAAACATTTTTCATACTCAATAAACTTTGATAAAGAGCTATATGTGAGTCATGTAATTTAGCAGATGGCAAAAATCTTAGTAAACGTAAATGTGAATTATCACATAAAAGCATTTCAATAAATTCTTTAGATAAATTTGTACTTCCTTCTCGTATAACCTAATAAAAAATCATAACACAATGTAATCCTGATTTCACAAATAAGTTATAACATAATTTATTAGTAAATACTTTAATTGCTCCAAGGAAAAATTCAAATTATTAATTTTAAAAAAACAAACCTTTGAAATCATTCTGAGTACAGAAACAATAACAGTTAACTTAAATTCATTAATATGTAAAATTTCTTTTTCAATAACTTTAACCATTAAGTCATTAATTGGTGGCATTTGTGTTTGAAGAATATCCATAATCAACCAAATACAATTATTACCTAAAAAATAAAAAAAATTAATTAATATTATAAATAGCTAAATAACAATTATTTGGAAATTATTTATTTTATTTTTAAAATACCTGCTTCAATAATATTTTCATCAACAGTAACACTTATACATTTATACATTGTTTTTATTAATGTCATTAATGCATTATTCAAAAAAGGCCACGAGACTACTGATGAATTTTTAGGACTTAAATGTTTTCCCACGCTCTCAGCAACAATACTAAATACTCTAAGAATAAAAAAAGTTGAAATATTTATAGATATTTACATTTATACATATATATATATATTTACATATATTATCATGTTTTTAGATACAGTGAAAACTATACAAAACAAAATAGCATAGGATATGAAAAATATTTCAATGAAGACAAGTTTTCAACTTATTTATTAGTATAATCATTGATTATAGATAATACTAACTTAAATCAACTGTACAAAAATTAAATACAATTTTCAATTTAAGAAGATTTCAGATTTATTAAAGGTAAAGGTCTATTAAAGAAAAATGTCACTGTAGTATCATAAGTTTTTACCTAATGTAAGCTAATATTTTATCTAATTCTCCATTTGGTTCATCAGTTTTGTTTTGTTCAAATTTATCAGATATTGAAGACATATCTTCTAATAATTGTTCAAGTAAACCTAGAGTGAAACTCATATCTGCAGTCCAATAAGTTGATAAACGAAAAATACATTGTGATATACGTTTATTTGTTTCTGTAGACTGAGAAGTATCTATAAACCAACCAACTAATATATCTACTGTATCCTGTGAACATAAACATGAACAAAACAAATAAATAATAATAAATGAAGTACATTAAATATTTATAAAATTAATAACTAATATTTACAAAATACTAACCTTAAAGTAAGGTTCGAAAGCTCTGCAGTACACATGGGAAAAGTTTATAGCCACATCAGCAGTAACTGTTATTAATTCAGGTGAATCAATTGATTCTAAAGTCAAGTGCATGTTCTCCAGTATAAGCTCAAAACCAAAAAAAACGTATGCAAGTTAGTTAAAAAAGCAAAATATTTAAGTAATGTAAGACAATGTAAGTTTAAACATATCAAATTTTTGTTATTAATAATGAACATAAATAACAAAAATAATAATAATTTAAGAGAATACAGAAAACACAACAATCACGTCTTGCGTAATAGAAATATATTTTCAAAAAAATGTATGTTCTTGAGTAGCTTTTTATTATTAAAATAAATATAAAATAAAATCAAAAACCATTGTTTACCTTTATACTTAAAGTTTTTTTTTTTATATATAATACTATGTATTAGTGTTATTAAAAATGTACAGTTATAAATAACTCCTGGAAATAAATAGTATTAAAAACAGTATAAAGGTCAGCTACATTAATAATTGATTTATTAGATTAAAGAAAATTAAGTTAGGGACATAACAATGGAAAACCATTGAACTTGAACACTAATTTCATTGAAATAGTTATTTAATTACAGAATAATATTCTACATTTTATAAATATTTTATGTATGAGTGAAATCCTATACTTTAGTAATGATACAAAAATTATTACATAGTTAAACCAAACTTTAATATTTAACTTGTTGATTTCTGGTTTAAAATATATATTAAATATTGCAATAATAAAAAATAAGTTCTTAAAAAATAATAACAATAAATACCACCTAAAACCAATTCATTTTTGAGTAAGTTTGTTCTGCAGAATATGAAAGAATAAATCTTATAATTATATACCTACATTTAAAATACTATAAGCTATAATAACATTTAAATACTAATTTATCATAATATTTCATATAATCAACTAAATACTTAAATAACTTGATTTCTATCTACTTAAAACCATACATCTTTCATGATAAATATAAGTACATGAATATACTTAGTTTAAATAACATTTAATAGGGCTTAAAATAATGTTAAAAAATGTTACTGAATGATAAAATTATTTTAATATATTAATAACCAATAAATATCTAACTTAATTTATGTTATCTAAATACTAATAAAAGTTTAACGCAAATAAAATACATACCGGTGCTAAACTTTCCAGATAGGACTTTTTCTGATCTTCTATTGATAACTGAAAATTTACATTAAAATTAAATAATATAAAAAACTATTTAAGCTTTAATTAACCCATTCACTTCATATTATTTGATTTATCTTAGAGGAAGCACAGTAACATTGACAAATTTATAAATAATTTAAAGTTACATTTTTTTTGGGGATTTATTATTTTTCTCAAAATAATAAAAATAATATTATTAAACACATAAATAATTTAATACAATTATTAAATTTTACCTGCAAATAATATCTATAAAAATAAAAGTTCTAGCCTAGAATATATTTGATAATAGATTTATGACTGATTTAGAAAATCCATTTCAATTATAAATGAAGGGTATACAAAAGAAATTATTTTACTTTACTTTTATTGATAATATTTTAAATAAATGATTTATGTATTTAATTATATTATTATTTTAAAACAACAATATTGACATTATAAACCATATTCAGTAAATATCATACACTAGTTTTTTAATTTTTTTTAGCTCACCTCATAGAAAGCAAGCATTAATAAAGTTTTTACTTCTTTACTTCGTTCTAAATTATATTTGGAAAACATCATATCAATGAATCTATAATATTAAATGATTATTAATTAATTGTTTTCTAAATAAATCAAATTGGCTATACCTTTTACAGTCATATTGTAAGGCATGTCCAAACTTTCCTAAACATTTAGCAATTATACATTTTCCACTATACGAAATAGATGAATGAAAACATTCATAAAGATGTTCAACTATGAAATCAGTAGCACGTCTTAGATATTTCTTATTCTCAGGTAAAACAAATGCTTCCTTAAAAAATAAAAATAAATATATATTTACAATAGTAAGTATTCAATTTTTTATGTAATTGCTTTGCCGTAACGTGCAAACAAAGGCAAATTAAAAAAAAAAAAGTATTCAATTTAATTTATAATAAATACTTGAAGTTGACTGCATAATGTTATAAGTGATCTAGTATCTTCTTCGTTCACTACTTTCCTTAGAATTTTTGATATCTTTGAGTCTTCAGATTGTCCATTATTACTTAATGAATCTAAATTTATAAGATATAATTTAAATATAGTTTTAAATAGTTACATTCATTGATAAGTAGTTTTCTTAACTATTATTGAATACAAATAACAATAAAAGAATAATAAACAATGATATAACTAACAAATCATAAAAAATAAAAATAATTACTAACAATTAATGAAAATTTGAATTACAACTATACAATTATAATAAAGAATAGCAGAAGCAATATATATTAAATAATACACAATATAACTTGCTTAAGACGCTTTCCACCATAAGACTATGTTTTCTGTCCTAAACATTTCTTTTATTAATAAAACCACCTGTTAAAACACTAGTTTTTTTTTTACTTAATCAAGTAAGACACACTTTTATTCAGCAGATTACAATAAATTTTAGTCATTATGCGATAGTAAAAATATAAATTATACTTGTCTCCATGCACTTACTGTATTTATTGTTTTACGACTCTAAACTAGCTAATTTTGCAACATTTATCAGAAACACGATGCTCTAGAAATTGTGGGTTATTTTAACAAAACAAAAAACTTTCTTGCTGAAACATATTCTCAAAACCTCAAACAAACTAATATATATATATAATTTTAAAAATTAAAAAGAGTAAAATAGAAGAATTAATAATAATTTATTTATTGATGTATTACATATTAATTATGTTTAATAGTAAAAATATTAATAAATTCACTATTTTAAAAACTTATTTATTTGAATATGCTTAAGATGGTCTTAAGAGCTGGTTCCTTGTGGAGCGTCTTAAGCAAGTTTTACTATAATCTAATATTATTTTCAGTAATTATTTAATACTAAAAATATTGTGCAATTATTTTTCAAGAATATTTATATTATATCTTCAATATTTATGACAAATTTATAAATTATAATTTTATAATAACTTAAAATGAATCAATGTATTTCATAACATTTTATTTTGAATAAGTAACACATTTTTGGTATTTAAATCGCATTAAAGTTTGTCATTAAATTATAACAAATAAAAAATAATACTTGACAAGTAACATAATAAGATGCATAAAAGAACCATTAAAAAATAGCAACATCAAATATTTTTATTTTTAGTAAGGAAAGTGATGTGTAACATGTTATTTATACAATACCTACGAAAAATAAGAATCTAGTAAAAATATATAAAAAAAATTGATATAATTTAATAACAGAAAAATCAAAAATATAATATATTTAAGTATTTAAATTATTTATTTTCAGTACTATTCTTTAAGTTGAATTGATCGCCACAGAGCTATATGAATTCAATAAAAATTTTACATTTTAGGGAATATATTATTTTATCAATCCAAAAGAAAATGTATGATTTATCTATTATGAATTATTTATAACTACTAATTGATATACAATAATAAAACCAAAATATTGACGTTTGAAATAAAATTTTTTTAAGTAGTTAAGTGTTTAAAGTATTTAACATTACATTTTAGAAATTATTGTTATAATTTATTTACCTGATCAACAAGTTAAATAATATTTCTAGTACTATTATTAATAATACAATATTAACGATAAATATCATAGTAAAAAAAATTAAGAAATCACATTGTACACATCTGCATTACATAGATACTATGTTATTAATTCAGGCATAGCTATAGAAACTCAATTATAAGGTGAATGATAATTTCAACCTAAACCTACATAAGTTAGTATAACATCATTCAGAAATATATTTTTAATTTTTTTAGCTAAACTTTGAACACTATAAATATTATAAAGATAATTTCATGTAGTTCAAAGAGGGATTTGAAGAGAAAATTACTAACCATTACGATAACTTTGGTAATACATAGATCTGGAGTCAAATGAATCATCACGTTTTTTAGACGTGTCATCATAATATTTACGTGACGTAAATCCATGTTCACCACTATATGATCGGTTCTTCATCAAAACCCTATTGCCTTTGTAATACGATCCTGTGGTCTTGTTGCGATAATCGTCTTTGTAGAAGTTACCATTCTTCGCAGAATGATCAATGGAGGCCACATCCTTCAGCACTTTATTTGAGTTGGATTCCACTGGCCGTTTATCAACAGAACCATTGACAGCCACTTTATCCGTGTCCGGTTTGACTTTAGATTTAATGGTGATCATCGCTGGTGGTAGTTTTACATCACTCATATGCAATATAGTGGACGGTCAGAAACTAGTGCGATTATTGTTTATCAAGGAGACAAGTTGAAAAAGCATCGCGCCAATCACAGACTCCGTTCATGAAAAAAAAACCATCGTACTTACATTGAGAAATTTTCATTCATTATCATAAAACATGCGCACATGTATCATACGGATTGAATGAATAGGGGTTGACAGAAGAGGATGTACGATAAAAGTTGAGGTTCGAGCGTCGAGCGGTTATCCCTTGTTAATGAGAGGAGGGTAGAAGTTCAAACGCATGCGCTATCATATTTGATGTTACCATGAAGATGTAACCATGATAACACAATAGAATAGTGTGGTTCTCAAATCTATTATCAACATTTTTGAAAACGGGATTGTCCTTGTTGCCAATGTCCGAAATGCTTAAATTTTAAATTCAAATATATTTGTAAAGTATTGTAGTTATTAATTATAATTATTATGTAGTTAACATAATCATTAAATAAGTTATATGATATTGCCATAATTTTATGATGCTTAAATTTATCATATTTTTCGACATTTCCAATTGAATCATTATAGTTTTTATTTTTTAATAATCTTCACAAAAATGTAGTTTATGTGTTAAAATTAACATGACTTCAAAAATTAAGTCGTGTATTATTATTTTTATTTTTTTCTTTAATTATAATATTTCTTGCCTAGTTGTTAATGTAAAGAATCAGGTAAATTTGTTTTGTTATAAGATTAAAATAGATTTTAAATTTTTGAAAAAAAATAATGCATAATTGTACTGGATAAAAATCAAATAGTACTACCTATGCCATATTTCTTTATTTATTTATTTATTTATTTTTAATTTGCCTTTGTTTATACACTACAGCAAAAATAATATTTCTTTAATTTTGGTTATTTTAACTATTATATAAGACCAAAATCATTTTTTTGAAATTCCCCAATATTTTTGAGAATACCATAAATATTTATAATAAATACTATCTGTAACAAAGTTGTTTTGAAATATAATATATTGATTTAATTATTTCTACTAGAAATCATTAAATCACTTTTATAAAATACATATATGAATATTTTTTAAATATGATGATATATGTCTGACTTCAAATTGCAAAAAAGTATCTTTTCTATGGATATAAATATTTTTATATTACATACTATTTTATTAATCCACATTAATTTTCATTAAAATTAATTAAAATTCAAATTCTATAAAGCCACATAAACCTATACACAGTTAAAATTTTAAAATAATGTTTAAACTGAATTAACTCATATGGATAAATTAAAAACTATTGTTCTACAAAACATATAAAATATTTTATTCGTAGAAATAAAATATATTAATTTTGAATAAGATTTATAAATTTATTAAAATATAAAAATGTTATTTTTATTGATTAAACATTCTTTTTGTATTCATAATCAACAATAAATATTATTTATTCAAATAATTTGATATATTTAGTGAGTATATATCAAGTTAAATAATAATAACCATACTGATTTAATAAGTATGCCTCAAATATTCCTAAAAACTTTAAATATTACTTCTATTTATAAACTATGTATTTATTACTAGATACATTTTTCTATTTTAGAATGGAGGTATTATAAAAGAAATAATAAATGCAAATATAACAGATGATACCATTACAGTGGAATTACAACTTCTTGATTCAACATTAATTACACAACATATTGATTTCACAAAGGTACTTATAATTATATATATATATAATTTTTTTGCTTAGAATTTAATTTAGATTAAATTTTAATTATTTATCAATAAATTTCAATAGGAAGTACAAATAGTACAAGTATTATTGCTTGGAGAAGAAGAGCGTGGTCAAAAACCTTATCAAATCCTTTGTTTTGTGAATCATATACATGCAAATGAATTTATTTCACCAGATGCAATGGCAAAACTTAGACAAGTAATATTATAAATAATTTTAAGATGTACCTAGGAATCAGTCCTTAAATAATTTAAAATTTCATTTTATGAATGTTTTTGAGTTATATTGTAAATATTATTACCCAACCTCTTCAAACTTAAAATTAATAAATACTTTATTGTTGTGATTCCATTAAATGGAATTAATTATTATTTTATTTATAAATTTTGTAATCATGAATTATTATTCTAAGTTTATATGATTAATATATTTATATTGCATTATATATATTATATGTATATTTTATCAATTTTATAAATTTATTTTATTTACATGATTATTATTTCAGAAAAATCCTGGTACAATTCGAGTTGCTGAAGAGAATAAAGGTGCCTTTAATGTTACTATAGATATGAAAATTAAATTAAAAGATAGCTCTTATATTTCTCAACATGTTGGCTCATTATGTTCTGAAGCTTCAGATACCACTTTTACTAGTAAAATTGATATTGACAAATGGGCTTTAGTACCAGGTATTTTTAATCATTAGTTCATAAGTTTATTTATGCTGTAAAATAGAAGGATTTAGGGTGTTAAATGCTTCTTAATTTATATTTTATTATTATTTTTTTTTAAACTTTTTCGATAATTTTTAAATATTAATTTTTTAAAAAAAACCACGCATATTTAAGTTAAAGTTTTGTTCTTACTATATGTATATTTAGTTTTGTAAAATACAATTATATTTTAACTAAAAACAAATCATTATTTATTAATGCTAATGTAAATTAAAACATTTTAGTTTTTTATACATTTTATAGTAAAATTATAAGAAATATTAAATAAGCAATGCATAATGTACATTTATGCAGCAATAAATTATAATTAATATTATTAATAAATCATATTGAATGCATTTTAAACTTATTGGTCAATAAAAATAAAATGTAGTAGTTAGAAGTTTATTTAGTGCAATTTACCTAAATATAATTAGTTGAGTGTGAAAATTAGTAATTCTGATATTATAATTGCAGGTATGTACTTAGGAAATTTGTTACAAACTGTTGAATATATTAATTACAAAGCATCAAAATCCAATTTGAAGTTATGTCGAGATACAGGAAAAGTCTGGTCACAATGTTTATGTACAATGGAAGTAAGCATTCCATGGTATCCTTGTGCTCTGAAATTCTGTAAAGATCATATAGGTAAAAAATCAACAGTAGTTGAAAGTTATCGATGTGGCATACAAACTTGTGCTAAATCTATGAATTTTATGTACAGTGTTAAACACAAACAACTTTGTTTGTCAATTGAATAATAAATATCATACTATCTTTAAATGTTTTTTTTTTTAATTTGTAATTGTTTTTATTAAATATAAATTAATTTTGTGTTCAATACATATCATTTTAGTGTAAAGTAAGGTATGTATAAAAATGTAAAAAAGAAAGTTCAAAATATTAGTCTCCGAGTAATTGTTCTTGTGAGCTACCTAATAGCATTTACTGTCATTATTAAATTTGTTTTAAAAGTAATTGAAATCAATATGAACCAGTTTTTTTGACCAACCTATCAAATAAAGAAAAACAAACGAATAAACTGGATATAAAATTATTATTTCTGTAGTGATCGTTGTGCAGGACACTACGATCGGTAACACATTAATTATTTAACGACGTAGCACGTTGTACGTAATCTTGAGACGTGTTGAGAGAGATAGGTAATATTAATAATTGAACAATCTTAATTAAATACTTAGAAAAAATTACTGGTTTATTGATTTAACACTTAGAATAAATACAAAATATTAATAACAGTTAAAAACTGGGTAGAGAATTATTACTCACAGCAATGTGGCTGTTACAATGTCCATGACGAGTAATAATTTATTTAACAGGGGAAATGATCAGTCTAACTACCTATCTACATCTGAATAATGCTAAATGCTCAACCCGTATTTATACAGGTTCCAATGACGTAAAAGTGGCCTAATTCTAATATTACTTTATTTTGCCCTCTATTTAGCATTATTATGTAAAGACGTGAAACTACTTATTGTTTTCACCTTTGCCCTGGTTTTCCTGCGTATATGCGAATTTAATATATTATCTATTTTATACATATACTATTTTAATCTATTAAATAATCAAAATATTATTTTGATTATTAAATTTAGCTGGACCTTGGCGAATTTATTAATATGCGTAATAATTTATTTTTGATTGTTAAATATTGATTAATTAAATGCTGATTATAAAATACGCCTAGCCTTAGCTTACTACATCTCTTTGATTCCACTTAATTTCTGATTTGAAAGTCATTAGGAAAAACTTCATTAGAAAAATTATGTTTTGTGTTTCATTTTTCCATCTTTTTCCCTGTTATTGATAATTTATTTATTTTATACTAAAAATAATAAATAATACATTTACAATTAATCAATGTTAATTATAATCAAATTTTTTTTAATTTAAGTTAAATTTGACTTTTTTTATTAACACCTTACATCATCCCTAATGACCTTGCTAAAAACTTATCGGTTAACTACTTGCAAATCTCTACTACCTCCATTGTAATATTTAGATATTATAAATAATAATTATTTAAATATTCTATACAATATTAGAATTTATTCTTTAAAACTGAGATTGCATGATTATTTTTGGATTTTTGTTTTTTTATCTTTTGTGAAATGTGATTTGCAAAACCTATATTATTTGTCATTATAATTATATAATAATTAACTGTTATAATTTAAAATAAAATGGTTTACTTATAATTTATATAGTAACATCTATAATGCATAGTATTTTATTTTTTTTTTTTTTTTGTAAATAGTTCAATAAAATTATCATCATTCAATTATAATTTATCATTAAAAAAAAAAATTTCATGTTTAAGCTACAAAGATGCTAATTACTGCGATAATTACTAATATTTGATTTTATGAAAATACAACTAGCATGTAAATTATAACACTATAAACCTGTATTGTTGGAAAAATGGATTTGATATTGATAATTTTAAAACTACAGAAAAATGATTTTACTATTATTTATTTATTAAAAAAAATTTAATAAAACAAACCTATAAGTCTTATTATAATAACAGCTATCAGATTATCGATTTCCCAACCATCCAACAAGTAAATACCGATAACTGTGGTAAAAGGCTATTAAATTCTTTTGGTGACCACAATAACGAGTGCTGCACTATAGGCTAAATCAATGGTTCTCAACCGGGGTGACATGGACACAGTGTAGGGGTGACACGAAATCTCCACAGGAAAAGGAAAAAAATTAGAAAAAAATTAATTTTAATAAAACCATATTATTACCACAACAGTCATGTAAATAGCATACCTTTAAGTTTACATCTTTATATTATTTAGATCCAATGAATACGTGCAGTATTGTTATTAACGCAAAATCGATGTATTATCGATTTTTTTATCGATTTAACCGGGGTCGTTAGTTATTTTACAGTCGTTAGATATGTAGTATTATTATATACAAATAAAATAAATAACAAGTATAAAAATCTTTAAAAAATTTTCTCTTTTTTTTTTTTTTAATTTTAAGTATAAACTTTATAATATCAATGTTTATTGAACAATGCACCTCAATAAATTGTAGATGTTCTACTGTTTTCTTCTGTTATTATTCTTCTGTTTTTATTATTTTTGTTATTTCAAGAATTATTCTAAAATACACAGTTAAGATTATTTATTATTTTGATGTTAGGGTGACGCGGTGTTTAATTCTAGTGGCTAAAGGTGACATGAATGAAAAAAGGATAAGAATCACTGGGCTAAATTAACTAGACCCTATTCCCTATAAATATAAATCTGGCCATGTGCTCCCACTTACCATGCCCTTGATGATTAACATGGTAGGCGGATGACAGGCTCTAATGCCCATAAGTTAAAAAAAAAAAAAACGTATCTATATATATAAATATATTCTTATACGTAGATACTATAAAAAGTACAAATTACCTTTCAATGTAATTTTAAATTAGGGGGTTTAAAATTCCTCGTCTAGCTGTTATTTTAAATTTGGAGTTCTTATTATAATTTGTAGTTAGAAGTGAAAATGAAAAAAAGGATATATGATGAGGAAGATTTTTAAATTTTCGAGGAAGAGTATGAATATGCCTTAATCAGTTTTGAAATCAAGTCGAGAAGAAAAATTGTGAAATTATCTCATGACTATATATACTATACTGTATAGGCTATGTAGTATATTCTCGATTATCCGCGGTCTTTTGCGAAACGAATGTACATATTGTACAAAGCCGTCCTAAGGATTTTTAGGGTCTAGGGCAAATCAATTCGGGAGGTCCTCAATATAAGTGGAGATTTGATTGAATTTTAGAAGGGCTCAAATTTTGCTTTATATAACGAGCTATTGTAACCAGGGCCGTATTTACGCATGGACATTATAGACATTTGTCCTGGGCCTACGTGGCCAAGGGGTCCATCAATGACTAACTATTTAATATATTATTTTGTTGAAATAAAAAATTTTTTTTATTTTTTTATTATTTTTTTTATTGTTTTTGTCTAAAACATAATAACAAGGCAAATGATATAATACAATATATACATAAAACAAAAATACAATGGTAGTTTAATATACAATAGTGCAAGAATTAAGAAACTAACAGATATAATTAATTTAGTAATAAGAAAGATGATAGGGGGAGAATAATAAAAATAATATTTGTTCATTTCATTATAATATTATATAAGATTAAGATATATTATTATTGATTATGTACTTTAAGCTATAAGCTATAAGCTTAGAAATATTCGTATGGTATTATGAATAATAATAACTGAATAATAATACAACTTTTTCCCGTAATATGATAATTATAGTTTATTACTATAGTAACAACATATTTTGTTTTATGCAAAAATAATAATAATTACACAGCTCGCATTATTGCCATGCACGATAACGCCAATAACATTGTACATATTACGATTACGAGTACATTACTCGTAATTGGTGGTGGTCCACAAAATTATTTGTCACTTTTCACTTGTTAAATATCGATACTAATAATACAAATGTACAATTACGATTTACGATTCCAACAAATAACATAAATAATTATTTTATTTTATATAAAATGTTACAAAAAAAATATCTAAATGGCTCCGCTAAAAGAAAATTAAAAGAAAAAAAAGAAGAAATTAAAAAGTTACGTGGAAATTTAAATAAATATGTTGTTAAAATGAATACAGAAACATCTACATCACTTATTACTGATAATTCAAAAAGTAAGTAGTACAACCTAATTTATAATAAAATATATTATTGTCCGAGAAGAAAAAACGAAATAATATAACAACTATTATTGTATATTTTTAAATAATACTCATTACTCAAGTATAAATGTTTAATTTGTATACATATTTTTTTATTTTTTAGTCAATTCACAAAATTTAAATTCAGAAAATCTTATTAACCAGGTTAAATTAAATGAACTAACGACTAATGAAGAATCTACTACTCAATATATGGTAAGTTTATTTGAAAATGAACTTGAAACACATGATCAAAATCCAATTGATAATAATTTAAATACTATTATTAACGATATAAAACAAATCAAATTTGAAAATTTCATTAACGATATTGCTTTATGGCCCTCATCCGTTACGGACAATTTTCGGGAATACTTCACACTTCATCCTCCAAATCAAAATATTCAAGCTATAGACGAGTCCAAGAAATCGATAAGAGGCGTTTCTCGTAAATTAAAAAAACATAATTTTTATATAACAAAAAAGAATGGTATCTCAGTTCCAAGAACTTGGTTAATATATTCTCCTTCGAGTTTCAGCATATTCTGTTATTTTTGTAAATTATATGTAAAAACTTCAAAACATTTACTTTGCAAGGAAGGCTATAGTGATTGGCATCACATTACATAACGGCTTATTGAACATGAGAATTCAACTACTCATAGAAATGCAATATCTAATTATTACAATTGTTCTGTAGAATTAAAATTAATTGATTGCCAACTAGTAAAAGAATATAAAACAGAAGTTCAATTTCATCTACCAACAATAATAACCTAACCTAACATAACCTAACCTAATAGCACAACAATAATGCTAACCGATCAATTAAAGTTTATAAGAAATATGCAAATAGCACATACGTTTCCAAATGTAGAAACATGTTTGCTTATATTTTTAACAATACCAATAACTATTTGTTCAAGTGAAAGATCATTTTCATTTCTGAAAAGAATAAAAAATAGATTAAGGTCATCAATGAGTCAAGAAAAATTGGATGCCTTAGGAATACTTTTAATAGAAAGCGATGTCACGGCAAGTATTGATTTTGATGAAATTATAGATGTATTTTCCAAATACAGACCAGAAAAAAGAAATTTTCAATCATTTATTATAAATAATTGTATTTTATAATTTTTTAATTTTATTTATTAACAAGTGCTTAAAGAATAAAGTATAATTTTGATATTTATATTATATTTGTGTATATTTATTCTTTATTTACATTGTAATTCATAGACCCAATTTTTTATTTTGTTTTAGACCATATATTTGGTAAATCAGGCTCTGTTGTAACTTTATCCCCATAACCCCTAAATTATGATATTACCTACAGTACGCATTAACTACTAAATGACTAACTAAAAATCTTCTAAATAGGTATGTTCTACTACTTACATAATATGCACTTTGAAAATCAATAATTTATAATTAATTTAATTAAATATTTATTAACTAATAATACAATATATATTGTATTACTTAAATACAGTAAACCTATTTTTATTTATAAATTTATCAATCAAACTATCGAAAATTTTTATTTTTGTCATTGCGACGACAACAGTCGCCTGATGTGGTCTGATAATAATCGTAAGACTGCGAAATAAGTATTCTATACTTTGAAAAATATTCAATAATTTTGGGGGACTTTTAATAATATTAAAAGTCCCCCAATATTGGGGGAGGCTATGCCCCCAACCTTGCCTATGCCTTTCAATCATCCAAATAATATACGAGCAATGCATCGATATAATGGCAATAACCATAGTAAATTACAATTATAGTTAATTGGAAATTAGAATAACTGAAAATGTAGCCTGTATAATAGCGCTTGAATATAAATTTAAGTTAATTTTATTGAATTAAATTTATTAGTATTTCATAAGGAAAAATAGTTTAAAAATAATATATTTATATCAATTATCTCTTATGGATAACTCCGAGTATTTTTTATCAATCTGGACTTAAAGGAGGCCCCCTTTAAATTTTCCTTCACTTACCGATCACCATAATATAAATATACTTCTCTACTATCAATTTAATTTTTAAATAAAATACTTACTATTTTTGAACTAATAATTTATAAATGCACATGAGTACCCACTTGTATTTAATTTTCATATAATTTTAATAAAATTTAGAATAAAATTATTTCAATGGATGTAACATATATACCCATATTAACATACCTACCTACCCATATTCCATATTTTATATGATCATAAAAGTATATTTATAAGATCAACTGAAACCGATAATATTAGAAATATAGCAATAAACTACAGTAAAATAATGATAATTTTTATCTTATACTATACTTATATATGTATAAATATATATATGTATATATATATATATAGTATATATATATGTATACTTATTATATATAAGTATATATATATACTTATATATAATGTATTAGTATTTTATCGGTTCTAACGTAATATACATAAAATGTATAACATTTTATACGAGTATAATTTAGTTTGATTTTTACTTAGTTGATTTTGTTTGATATAATAGAGTTAAGTGTGAAAAATTTATTATTATTTTATATTGAATAAGCCAATACCGATAGAAATGTCAAAGCTAATATAATAATATAATAAACTCAGCAGCCTGCATACCAAGAAAGCGCGAGTTGCAAATCAAAATATTTGTACCATAATTTTACAGCAGTAACGACCCACCACTAGCAACTAGTATCATTCATAGTTTTATTTTCAAAATTATAGTCCGTAGATAAATGACCATTGAAAAAAAATATTTGGAAGAAAATTATATTTATTTGTGGAGCAAAAAGAAATTTTAATTTTTTTTTTTTTTTTTTGAGGAAAATACCTATAAACAGTGGAGGGATTAAGTCTATCAATTAAAGTACCTACTCAATATTATAAAAGAGCCTTAAAAAAAGGGGGAAAAATTCACGAGAAATACTTCATTAATTAGTTTAAAATTTTAAGTGTATTATAGAGCAAATTACTTCTAAATCTGTTTTTAATTTGGAACACAAAGAACAAAAATATGTTAGACAATAACTTTTTTTAAGTACTGATTATAAAAAAAAATCAATATGATTAATAATATCGTCGTATCGATATGTGCTACAGGTTTTACCTATGGATTATAGGAGTACAAATATAATTAAAAATTAAAGGAAGTTTAACTTACCCATTTTGATTCATTATTAAGACATTAGCTAAAATTATCTATTTAAAACTAAAGGTGACGAGTTTTAACTGTGGTAATTTTTCAAAACCATTAATCTTATTTATACTGTAATACTAAAATAAAAATTTGAAACGCAATATATATTTATGAATTAAGTTTTTACCTTTAAATAATTATTTCGATCTAAGCATTATACAAACATAAGTACACATATTTTGATTTTTAATAAATAAAGAAAGAATAGAAGTAGGTAGGTATTTAATCTTTCTAAAAATATACAATAAATATAAATAATAATATATATATATTTTTAATTTAAATATTGAAACATGTAAAATCCTATTTATAATATTCTAATGTATAGTAAAATGGTTAAAATATTTATTTTATAAATGATTTTATTATAATTATCATTCTTTGTCTCCCATCTGTAAAACACGAAACACTGTCACTAATATATAAATATAATGTGGCAAAATGTAAATGTAATTATAAAATTGCTATTATGTAAAAAAAAAATTGGTAGGTTTTATATATTTATATAAAATTATATTGAATTTAATACTAGAGTTAATTAACTAAAATTAATTTTATACGAAATTAAATAAAAAAATGTGTTGTCTAGTTCGTATTTTTTTATCCAGTACAAGTAGGTAGATATTAAATAATGATTTTTTTTTAATTAATATTTATATTAAAATATATTATTTAATATATTAAAATATATAATTATTATGTATTGAACAATATTTTGTATAAACATATTATTGTATTATAAACTATTTAATTATTATAGAATCATAGATATAATTTAAATTCAAATTTCTAAATTGCATGCATATGTACCCATTTGAGGTGTGAACTTTTTTTAGAAGATAGTTTGTTTACAAACCCTTTAATTTGTGTCATTGCAATATCATTAATCAGATCATCATTGTGTTTAGTTTTAGGTCATTTGGCATACTTTCAAATTTACTATATATAAATTTTATAATAACATGATTATATGTATTACCTATACTGTTGAATGGTTTATTTATATTATAAGTTTCACTCAGAAATCAATATAATAATTTGACCGACAGTTAAAATCGGTATCGTGTTTACTGGAGAAAAATAAACCATAATAAATTTAATTATAATTATTTAGTATATATTATAAGATAATATGTATATTCGATAATATTAGTTTAATATTAATTATTATAATGAGAAAAAATACTTGTTCAAACGAAATGTATCATCGATTATATGGAGATTAATGACAACTTCAGTACCATATTCATTGGTATCAGATTCAATAAATTAACAAAACGATCAATTAGCTAACTGTTAGCTGATTGAGTATTTTACTTAACGTAATCCCCAGAACAAATAAAATTAGTTTATTTATAAAAATGTATTAATGTATTGTTTTTTTTTTATTTAGATAAATCAAAAACAATATCAATTATGTACAATAAGTATACAAATATTATGACGATAAATTTATTTAGTGAATAAACAGTAATTTTTACAAAATATAAAAAACATCAATACGAATGCCAAAAAATAAGATTTTTGAAGAGTTTACTATATTTATTATGTGCCAAATTTATACGAACTATATTCGTTATAGTAATGATATATTGAGATGAATGCACAATTAGAATGTCAGGTATTGATGGCCAAATGCCAAAAGGTATTCTGAGATTAGAGTATCGTAAGTCACTCGTCAATACTTGAATACAGATCGACCGCGTGGCTGAAAGTTTTTTCTACAATAAATTTGAAGTTATGCTTACTTTACAGGATTTACTTAATCGTCACTTAATTATATTTTTTCAAATATATATTTAATTTAGTATTATTCAACACAAAAATGTGTGAAGAAATTGAACTTCATCGATACGACGAGACATCTTGGGGATTTCGTCTAACAGGAGGCCATGATTTTGGGATTCCTCTTACGGTCGTTAGGGTAAGTCATTCAATCGAACGAATTATTTCAACAAAATATAAATATATATAAAAAAAAAAATCTTCGAATAGGTGACTGGAGGCAGTTTGGCCGAAGAAGCTGGCATGTGTGTTGGAGATATGATTATTGAAATTAATGGAGACAGCACGGCTCAAATGACACATAGTGAAGCTCAACAATGTATTTTAGAAGCTGGAAATTATATTTCTTTGTCGATCTTGCGGTGAATATAAATACAGTGTTTAAATAATAATTTTAAATATATATATATGTGGATGTGTGTTTGTGTGTGTATTATTTACTATCTTCCACCTATACATTTCACATCAAATTGATCTTTTATCTTCTTACTAAATAAATTTCCGTATTTTTTAGATTATTATGTTTAAGTTTACAAAATTTAACTTCATGATATTCATTATTATGATGGGTAAATATTTTTTCATCAAAAAATTAACATTCAATTTTTATTTTCAGAGGAAGTCCTGTGCCAGCAGTTACACCGACCAGAGGACTTAACACACCTTCAGTTATTGATCGGGCAACATCATCTGTGGGAAGTATAACTGAATATGAGTCAACACTTGAAAATTACAGAGAAAATGTAATATCAGGTAAATCATTTTTCGTTAATTCGAATAGTTGTCATTTCTAACGATTAAGTGGGGTAGTTGTATCAGATTCTTATGAAAATGGGCATGAGATGACCGAGGAAGAAATAGCTGAAAAACTACTAGAAAGTGCTGAAGTTATGGAAAATAATGGAAAAAATGTTATTGGGTAATAGTAATAAATAGATAAATATTGTTTTCATTTATTTCAAATTGTTACATTTTTTTTTTTATTTATATAGTGTCAATTTTAAACGGTTTGTACCTAAATGTGATTTTATTAAGAATTCATTGGTTTTTCAAACATTACAAGAAGAACAAATTTTTGATCAAAAATCAGAGCAAGAACAATTAAAAAGATGCCCAACGAAAAGATTTTCAACATTTTTGACAACACCAAATAGGCCTAAAATCAAACCACCAGAAAAGAAAAAACCTGAAGAATCAAAAAAAAATGAGGTGGGATAATAGTAAAATGCGTATTTTATTTGAACAAACATTTTAAAAGTATTCATTAAAGGTTTTTTTAGTTGAATCTACTGCGATTGTAGCTTAAGAAAATATTAATTTTACAGCTTTTATGCGTATTAGTATTATGTATGAAACCTTAACCTAACTAACTGGTACCGATTAAACTAAAAAATAAATAAAAATAAAATAATTTGTAATTAGTATAATACCAACCAATTAATATAAACTCTTAACTATATAGAATACTAATATATATTTATATGGTCAGAATAATTTCTTTAAAAATTTAAAATTATGTTTGTCTATACGAATGTTTCTATTTGAAAGTTATAAAAAAAATATTGAGGAGTCGAGTACATCGTCAAGAATCTACGCTAGTGATATCCAACCTTTTTTCCTTGGCGGGACACTTTAGTAAACAATTATCTTAGAGGGGGCCACCAAATATAAAAGTACGAATAATATCAATATTAATCTAATACAATAAATAATATTATTTTATCACATATAGTATGTATACAATGTACATGTAGGTTAGGGTGACTATATGTAAAAAAAACAAGACACTTTTTTTGCAATGAGTAAAAAAAAATTATTGATTATCATCAAAAAAATAAAAACTTATATAAATAATAAATATGTATAAAAAATAATTATAATACATATTATAATAACAAAACTTATAATTTAAAAAATAAAATCACTGGTATACGTGAACAAAAAATAAAACTACTTATATTTCTTGATAACTATAATTAAGGTTTTATATAATTTGCTTAAAAAGTTTATCTCATAAAATAATTCTTTTAGTCTAGTTAGAAATAATATAATAATCTATTACGTTTCTCTGTTATAAGATAACTGGTACTGAAGATTTAACAGTAGAGGAGTGTACAAAATTAAAATCCTCTGAACAAGTATGTACCAACTGTAAATGTAAATTAACAAACATAGAAAATTGCGTTGTGTCAACGGATATAGTAATAACTAAAGAAAGAAATGATGTTGAGTGTGCAGAAGAACACGAAGATAATTCGAAAGAAATAACCCAAATTGAAAATGAAGAAGAAGAGATTCATACAGAGAAAATCGAACAAAAAGGAATTGAAAATATTACTACGGAAGAGGTAAGTATAGAACAGTTCATAATATATTTTTAGTCGATTTGAAATGTTCATTTTATTTTTGTAGAAACCTAATTTATGTGTCTAAATTAATTTACGAATTATAGAACATAATAATAATATCTGTATACTTGTACTAAAAAATAGAAATACAAAAATTTAATAATGTTAAGTATCCGAATTGCATATAATTATTTAACCAATTTTAAATTTAAAACTATATTTTTTAGGAGTTCATTGAATTTTCTAAAGGAATACATGAACCTGAAGAAACTGTCTATGTGAAAAATGAGAACGAAAATAAGTTTGAAAAAAGTATATTGGACATTCAAAATCAATTATCTGCTATTCGAGAACTACCATTACAGATTCAAAATCATATTTCAATGTTGGAAAAACAACTTTCAGATTTACTCTCGCATGAAATTAAATCAACTGAAAGTTCTGAAATTAATAAAAAAAACACAGAAAACGAAGAAGAACAAAAAAAATATTTAATCAAAAAAGAAAGTATTGAAGATGAATCTTTAGAGATATGTGAAGACGACGTATTTGAAACGGTTATTGATGAAATAATTGAAGAAGTAGAAGAATTGAAATTTAATGAGATATCGGATGAAAAATCGGAAGAAAAATCGGAAGAAAAATTGGAAGAAACTGAAGATAAAGAACCCATCGGTAGACCAATGTATCCTCTTACACCATTACCCAGACCTATCGTATTACCCGGTGGTCGAAAGTGGAGAGGTCCTAAAGATGCGTACAATGAAAAATTTATCGCTGAAACATTGATATCACAAGCTGAAGTTTTAGTCGGCTCCACGTTGGGGTAAATAATTAAATATATTTTAAATATAAACATAAATTACATTAGTTAAAATTATATAATATATTTTATACTAATATTATATTACTAATATAGTATACCCAATGTTACCTACCGATCCTTTTATATCCACGTGTGGTGGTGACCATATAACCATATTATATTTATATAACTAACCTGGAGGCGCGATAACCAGAAGGGGAGTTACAGGTGTAGTAACAATACTCCTTAACCGTGTTATACTTAAGTCTTATAAAAATAAAAATTCATCATAAACCGTGATGAACAAATATTTATCATAACGAAATATATACATATTTCGAAACCAATAATGTAAATATTGTAATATAGGTATACCAATAATGCTGGGACCCGGTTTCTCATTACATCGTTATGTCTAATAAATTAAAGCCGTGATTTTACGTTTTTCTACGAACAATTTAAAATATATATATATATATATATAATGTACTTTGAAATTTGAATAAAATATTTAAATTATTTAACACTTTCTCATACATTAGTATATTACTCATGAATAAAAATGTATGCACACAAAGGTGGAACTAGGAATTTTTATGTCAGAGAAAAATTTAAAATTATGCTTTATCATAAAACAAAGATCAAATACCCTTCCCACTAATTTATTTTCTAATAATTATGAATACAATCGTACTAATTGAGTTCTAAACATATTATCAATAACCAAGTTAAAAGTATCAAACTAATAGTCAATAATAAATTATGTACTTACTACAGAAATACTACACCTTCTAAAATATTACGCCGGGGGATGAATCACCATATTGCTCCCCCTAGGTCCACCACTTTTCATGTATAATTATAATGTACTAATGTGTTAGGATGCTTGTACAATGCATTATACGTAAAGTTATTATTTTGTTAAGTATAGTTTTATCGATTAATTTTGTACAACATCCCTCTTTTGAAATACCTGGCTACGTGCCTCAGTAGCTGGAACCGTTTATTAGTAGTAATTGCCTATACTTATATTATTAATAATTTCCACACAATTGTCATATCTACCTGGCTATATATATATATATTTATACCTACTATACCTACCTTAATATACCTATTAAATATACACTATTCTGAAAAAAAGTTGAATGTGTATATTAGCTACTCAAAAATTGACACACCAACTAATTAAATTGAACATAAATAGATAACTTTACTATTTTAATGTTTTATTTACTATTCATTTCATAGTTTTCACTACAATTAAAATTAAAAATCTTGACCTATCTTGCAAGTCAATTGCAAGACGATTTGAATAGTCGATGATTAATAAAATATTTGATTTATAATTAATTATTAACATTTTTATTATTGCAGAGTAAACTTTAGAAAATATGAACCACCAAAATTTGATTTGTCAAACTCAGCTGTATACAAACTAGTGCATAACATAGAAGGAAAAAATGCTGGAGGTATTGAAAATAGGGCTGAAAAGGTAGCGGCTGAGGAAGATTTCTACTACCATAAACCAGTAATATGATTATATATTTTTTATACATTTTATACAACTACAATAATGACTTATTTAACAAATTTAGATTGATGCACGGCAATTTTACTTAGCTACACTCCCACAACCATCAATAGTAAGTAACTCATATTTGTATACTACGATTCAATTATCAACTAAATCTGAACTATTTTCTATGTCTCTTGATTAAACTCATTGATTACTTAATTAGATAACAAAATATGTGAGATTTTCGATACATTTCTTAAAACAAATACTACTTTAGTGTATAGGAACCATTGATTAAAATGTTTGTAAAATAATTAAAAATAAACAATTATACTTAGAAATTAATGTTGTAAAAATTAAAAGAAGATATTTTCAATGTTTAACACGTTCTACGTTAATTTATACATTTACTTTAAAATCTTAACAGAAAATTGAATTTCAAACTGAAAGTTAATTATTTTTAAAGTATTTAAAATTTAAATTAGTATCATAAACTCTATAACCTTCATTATTATAACACATGTATTGTACTCATATTTAGTTTTAATTATTTCTTTTGTTATTTTTTTTTATTATCAATACTAATTACAAACATAAAAATAACATTGATACTATCAATTTTTATAATTAATACTATTTATAATTAATTTCATGTAGTTTTCTAAATTATATACAGATAGCAAAACAATATGTTTTAAATAAAAAATATTATTTAATTTCAAAACATTTCATAAGAGCGCTTTATTTTAGGTTTTTGCTTAAATAAGTAATTAAAAACATTTATTTCCAAATTGAGTTCACCAAATAATTTTTATTTCCTGTTATGTTTATCTGTTTGTCAAGACTTTCATCGTCATATTTAACATATATACTTACTACCGGCTACCATGTGTTATTTTTAATGTGTTTATACTATTCTAGTATTACGATTTAAATATATTACATTTTATTAGGCAATACAAAACAGTTACTATTATTTCTATTCAAATTTAAGCTCACAAAGAAAATTAATAATTTAATACAAGTAGAAAACAAAAATATGTATTAGATACAATGTAGGCTATATAATGTCCTTAAGTATACTTTTTCTTCTATGGAGTTCCCTGATGGCGGGTGTATTATCGATTATAAAAAAAAAAATCTATAACAAATAATAATTATTAATAACAAATAAAATTGTTCCATAGTATGATAAAATTTGGTTGAAATGATCTTGTATTCCTTTATTAAAATATTTTTTTTATAATTTTAGCATTAGTAACTTATTAGTTTTAACTAAAATTTGTATAAATTGACTTATTTTGTCTTGCAGGTTCCAGATTTTGAAAACGATAATCAGTATTCCCATTAGATGAAAACAATATTTGTTTTATAAATCTAAAATAGTACTATTTTGTCAAAATCATTTAGAATAAGTTTACTTACTGTTGGAATACCTAGCTACCTTATACTTCCAAATTTTTAGTCTATATTAAATTAATATCAAATAATGTAAATCGGTTATAATTAGATTAAGTATAAATTTTTTTTTTATGTATTAATCCAAACCAATAAACTGTCGAATATTAGATTATTATTTCAGTCAAATAAATTATGCTATATTTATACCAGTAGCAGTTACTATGCCTACCTCAAGTATTTAAATTTAATTATTACTGTTATTTTATGCGTAAACCGTCTGCTTGTTTGCGTGAACAATAACATTTTAAATATGTATTTAAAAATATACTCCTGATTATTATTAAATAATTAGTAATTTTTTTTCAGAAACAGTATTTTATTCCCAAAAGATATCTAGGAATAAACTATAAATCTTGTACAATGATTATTTCTGATAAGAAACGTAGATAAAATTAATAAGAATAATTATTTTTAATTATCTACCTTGTATAAATTAAATTATGGTTTTTTTTAATGTTATACTAAAAATAAATCTAATAACATTATTTTTATTTTTTTCCAAAAAATGAAAGAAAAAGTAATATTTAATTAATAAAATAAAATAGGTACTTACAATTATTGTTGTTAAATATTATTTAATAATAGGTAAATATCATTGTTATTGATACAAATTATGTTATTATAATTTCAATTCCAACAAAGAACAGATAACAATGAAAATGTACTAATATTATCATTGTTATAATAATATAATTATATTCAAAATTTAATTTTAAAAACAATGTTAAGACCAAAATTTAAAAATTGAGTGTAAATTATGATGAATATAGTGCATTATAAAAATAACTGTTCCGGTTATGATTTAAATGTGCCTGAGCACCTCCTGATATTACGTAACAGGGTTAACGGTTACAAGTTGTTGACTATTTTTGAAAGCTTGTTGAAATTGTGTAACCTTGTTTGCAAGCATGAACAAATTAATGATAATTTTTAATTGAGCTAAATTAAGTTGACGGAAAGCATTTTAAAAAGTTAACAGTTAACCTAATTTTTTTTTTAACTCAGTTAAGTTAAAAGTTTTATGAACATTTTCAATTAACTTATTAACTTAAGTTATTATTATTATTTTTTAATATATGTATAAATACCCAGTAATATAGTTTAAGATAATAAAAATCATAAATATTATCGAACACAGGAAATAACCAATAGCTTTTCTAAGCATAGAATTAAATTATTTGGTAAATACTAATGAATAGAATTATGTAGAAGGTACCAAAAGTATAAAAAATGTCGAATTAAATACAATGCATTTTATTTAGTAAAATACTTTTTAAAAGTATTTAGAATAAATACTTAAATACTTACAAAAAATAGTATTCCGGATATGTATTCAAATACTTTATACAAATTGTATTCCGAATACATTATTTAGAATACTTCAAAAGTATTCTGAATACTTTTAAAATACTTTTAGTTTTTATATTATAAAAATAATCCACTCAACAGAAATATTTGAAATTGTAGACTAAATATATGTTATTTTATTGTATTTTTATATTACATAACTGTTATAATTTATGGTTTACAATAATAATAAATACCTGATATTAGCTTATACAAGATACGACGGAGAAGTAATAAAATCATTTAAAAAATAGATGATTTGACGGTATTCGAAATACAGTATTCAGAATACTCGTTATAAGTATTCAAAATACTTTATTGAATACTTTCAAAAAAATTATTTAAAAAGTATTCGAAATACTTAAAAAGTATTCGGAATACTATCCAAGTCTGACAAAATAATACAATTCAATAAAATATCGTGGTAAATATGAAATCGTTTGGATTAATACGCGATTTACTTGAATAAGAATACTTATATTGTTTATAATAATGTTTATATTTATTTTTTATATTTTTGATAGCATTGGTTTTGTTAAAAAAAAAAAAAAAAGGTAAATTGCCCATGACATTAAAAATACAATAGTAAACTGGACAGAAAGAGTAACAAATGAAGATATATCAACCCAAGTTGGAAGAACAAGATTCATAATTAAAACCATAAAGCGACGACGATGGAACATGATTGGTCACGTTTTAAGCTATAATGAAGAATTTCATCACACTATAATAGAAGGTGCAATTGAAGGACAAAGACCACCAGGAAAACCAAGAAACTCGTACATATCTCAACTGAAAAATGACGCAGGGATTGATACTTACGCCGGATTAGAAAGACTTGCCGAAGATCGTGATAAGTGGAGAGTGAAATTAAAAACGTTGTAAACCAACCTAATATAGCTTGAAAAAAAAAAAATTAAAAATACGTCAAAAGTTAAAGAGTATTTCTTTTAAACTTTGAATACTTTTTCAAGGAACTTAAAGTCTAAAGCATAACCCAATTAGTTTTAATTAAAATAAATTAAAATAACTTATTTATGGTAAAAATATTTTATTATTTGTCCTTGAAAATTGTACATTTGTATTTTATATCTGTATCAATATAATAACATAATATCATAATACTTAATAGTTATAAGCGGGGCTCGTAAGTTCATGCATTTGCATATCAATCTAGCAAAGTTATAATTTAATGTTAGATGACCTAGAAATCCATTTCATGGTAGCACGATTGAATATGTTTTTTAAATTTGGCATATTTATGCATATTTCTATTTTATCGGATATATGTATTATACAACTTCAGTATTAGGAATATTTAGAAAAAATTATCCAAAAGATAATCTAAATAACGTCCAAATTATCTTTCATCTTTTATCTAGATAAATCCAAAGTATCTTTATCTTATACTTATCTTTTTGCGTTTTTTCTATCGATAGATAATAGATGTTAAATCCAGCAAAGTGATTCTTTTTTTTTGTTAAAATAAGATTTTATTGTTTTATTCAGCCGTTTATCATAATTTGTCATACAATAATAATTGAACTAAATAATAAATATATGAACTGTGATATTTATATGTATTTTAAAATTTAAATTATTACATTAAAAAATATTTTAATACAAATTCTAGTACAACCAAATGTTAACTTATATAACCAAATTAAATTTAGTTAAAAAATTATGAATAATGTATTATGAATAATGTAAGGTCACTTAGCAATTACTACTTGTACAGATATTAAAATATAGATAGGTATAATAAATAATAATTTAAATTAATCTACCTACATCTGTTAATCATTTATTAACCTATTTACTTTTAAGAATAATAAAAATATTCTATCAAACCTTAAGGCCCGGCGCACATTGAGACGCAGGTTACGCAGCGCAGCACAAAGCAGCGCAGCGTAGTTTTCTGTAATCTATTAGAACGTACTAGAGCATATTGGGAGGTAGGGCAGGATAGAGCAGTGCGTGCCTGTGTCACGCAGTGTCTGCGACACAGATTACTGCACACGTGCCGTGCAGTTTTGGAAATTACGATATACCTTAAAAAGACTGCCAGTTTTTCTTCAGGATCAATCGGCTTTTGAGCATTACACCCAGATGAATAAATAGTATCTCGTATTAAATTAAGAATTTCATTGAATTGATTTCGGTCCAGGCGAAAGTAGTTCAAAAATTGTTTGTTAGAAAATTCCGATTACAAATTGAATTCACCGTGACTTTGTCTTCTCTTCATAAAATTACTTTTCCACGTTTTTTTTTCTTTACTTAACGAATACAACAAAATTAATTCATCAAATTCGTCATCGGAATCTGATTCAGAACTTAAATTTATTAAATTTTCGGCCATCATACTATCGCTCATGCTGGTAACTGTGGACAAAAACTATCGGAGAAACGTCAGAACTGCGTAGTAATATGCGCTCACTTAGGTAGCGCAGTTTTTCCTGCGCTGCGCTGACCTACGCTGGGCTGCGTTGCCTGCGTCTCAATGTGCGCCGGGCCTAAGGCATTAAATAAAAGAGTTATTTTAAAAATATATCCAAGAGTCGGACCTTAAATGCTATTTTAAATAATTTTCTATTATCTTTTTATTTCATCTAGATAACTGAAAGATTATCTTATATAAACCTTTAGTCATTATCTTTATTTTTAATCTAGATAAAAATATTGGTTATCTTTCCTAATATTGTATACAACATTCTATTAGAATCTATCAAAAATCTAAATGGAAAATATATATAAAGTTAAAAATAGAAATTGTATTATCTTTTTTTTTTCTTACCTATCTTCTTGAAAAGTTTCAGATTTAAAATTAATTACTGACAAAGACGTACATTATACGCAGTTCATGAAGGCTCAAGAATTATATTAAATAGTATTTAAAATCTATTTTTTTTTTTAATTGCGACGTAAAATAAAATAAAATATAGCTATCTATAAAAAAAATGAATGGATAATTCATGTTGGTTCAAAATTTATTTATGATTTTTTTAATTAAGTATTTTTTAAGTAAGTTTTAGATATTTTGTGCAAATATATGCATATTTTTTAACATTTTAAGGCATATTTCAAAGCAAATTTTGCTAATTTGAAGTGCATAAATGCATGCTTATTTAGGCATTTTTAAGGTATGAACTTACGAACCCTGGTTAAAAGTATTAATTAATTATTATTATTGTTATTATTACAATATGCCCATTTGCTACAGTATAGTATGATATATCTTATGTATGATACACCTATATATTATAATATAATATATACCTACCTATTGGATATATGGCTATTGCTATATGTATTTAGTTAAGTTATTTTTCTTGAAGAATCCTGGCTAAATTTAACTATATTTCTAATTTCCTATTTTAGCAAATCGTTATGTAGTATGGTATGCATTATAAATAATAAATTTATTATATGTATTTTTTTTTAAATTATTTATAAATTAACTTAATTTGAATTTGATTAAAAGTAACTCGTTATTTATTAAGTTTATATCAGTTAAAATAAATTAAGTTAAAAATGTATTCAATGAAAATTGAAATAAAAAAAGTTTAACTTAACTTTAACTTTTTAATTCGTTTATGCCTAGGCTTCCTTGTTCATGCCTAAGTATCATTATTATTATTATAAAGTTGTAACAGTGTTATAACTGGATAATGGATAAAATATAAATTATAATATCTTCATTTTATTAGCTAATTAATTATTATAATAATTACTTTTGTTATTGAATTGTAATTATTTTAATATTCAATTAAGTAAGAGAAGTTTTAAAGGAAATCCTGTCACAAGTTTGTTTTTATAGATAAATAGGTTAAACAATTAAACAAACTATGTTATATCATAAATTAAATTAGTTCATAGTATCACAAATTATTTATTTTATACATAGTATTGTCATTAATATGAGATTCTCTTGAAATTCTTCACAAAATAAAAATTAAACATACCAAATCAAGAAATTATTGTGCATTTTTTTTTTTTAATTAAAAATTTATTTATACAATCTGTAAATATACATACATACACACACACATATATATATATATATATATATATTTTGCAATAAGTATAAGTAATGTGAGATTAGTGGTTAATATGCAGTTTTGATAGAATTCATCCAGGAACTTCATGATAGTGGACGTTTTTAATTATTTAAAAGGTCCAGATACCATTTGCATTTCAAACATCTTTTGGAATCACCTAAGATATTGAGAACATATTAATTTCAAATAAGAATATTGCAAAGGCTGAATAAATTTGTATTGAAGCATTTATTGGTAACATTTAAAATACAGTAGAACTCGTTTAAGACGCTCTCCAAGGGACTAGTTACAAATAGCGTCTTAAGCGGGAAATCGTTTTACGCGAGAACAAAAAATGTTTATTATATTTTACAATACATCCATGTTATATAGATATAAATTATATTTTTTACTTTACAGAGTGAATTATTACATTTATACTACCTATTTAAAAAAATCGTTTATCTTTTATTGTTTCAAAGTTTTGATGTTTTTTGAATACAGAAAGTTTTCAATTTTATTAAGATGATGTAACGTTTCGTCAGCGTTGTCAAAAGATGCAATTAATCTTCTTAGCTCATTAACATGATCAAGTGCATTTGTTTCTATTTGTTATTATTCGTTATCGTTATTAATAGTGAGGTATTTTTTTAAATGTTATTTAATGTATATGTATATTAGTGAGGTATTTCTTTAAATGTTATTCAATGTATATGTATATACAATATATTTTTATATGAACATCATTGACAAGACGAGCATATTATCCAGAGTTAATTACATGTTAATTGTTGTCAAAATCAAGGGACTCGTATAAATGAGCGTATTAGCCGGGAAATCATCTTAAGCAAGAGCGTCTTAAACCAGTTCTACTGTATTTATGTTTCATGGTACAACTCTAAACTAATCTTAAATAAAAATTTTATATATGCAAGCTTATAAATTAATTTTTACAATTATTTAGTATTATTTTATTTAAGATTTAGTTTATATGTTGTCATGTGTCATGTTGATAATATAGTTACTAATTCTAATTCTTGTTTTAACAAATTACAATATCGTAAATATTGATTTAAATATATACGATATATATAAATTATATAATATATATGTATAAAGTTATAAAATATTTTTTATAGTTTTTATAAACAAGTTTTTTATAAGTATTTAATTAATAATGTTCAAATTTAATAAAATTAAAAATTATTCAAACTTCATAAAAATTTGCACAGTGCTATTATATAGATATCATAATTTATTAATCAATTTTATGTAGAATTTATCACAGGCCGGAGATACATCTATTTTTTTAAGACTATTGTCGTTTTTCTAAGCTTTTATATTTAGCTTCCAATCTTCTAGCATATGCATCTAATTTAAATGCTGCTTGTTCTAGCTTTGAAACACTGTCTTCAATCTGATCAATTTGAGCAAGATATGGTTCTAATGACTTATCTGAACATGAAAAACAGTTTTAAAATATTGTAATTCATAAAAACATAAAACATTTACATACATTTTTCATTTAATTCTATTATTTGTTTCCCAACATCTGATGCAATTTGTCTATAAGATGCATATTTTTGTGTAGTTACTTTGTTCATGGTTTCCAATAATTTATAGTCCTCCTAAGTATATAAAATATTAATTTTTGTTAAAAATAACTAATTATATTAATTATAAACCAACCTCAGTTATATGAAGTTCACCCATTAAATATTCAGATGTTTTCTCAAACATTTTAGTGGATAACAAACTTAAATTTGGATCATGAGGATCATTACGTTCAAAACTACTTGTGCTTGTAGAAAGAGTAGGACCTAAAAAGTTCAAACAAAACGATTATTTTCACATTTATAGATATGTTATTTGATAATTATAATTATGTTAGGAAACTTATAATTGTAATAAGTTGTTTTAGTTAAAATTGGTTTGCACAGTAATATCGAGTTACATTTCTTTTATAGATCTAATATTTAGTATTATCAAACGATAAACAAAAATTAGTGTATCATGCCTTATGATGAACTTTTTATAATTCAGGAAATAAAGTTCCTTATCAATCAATGTTATACTATAGGCGTATATTTTATGACAAAAATCCAAATCAATGTAATTAATATATAATAAATATTTGGTAGATTTTCTGGATTAGGTGGAATGAAAATAGTATTTAAATAATACATTCAACAAAATGTTAGTGAATCCTTATATTTTTATGTATAAAAAAATGCTTAAAGTATTATGGTGAACTTTACCCATTTTACCTCTTTTGGGAGATTCATCTATACCACCGAAATCTTCAATTTTGTCTTCCTCAGACATTTTTAATTTAATTGGACACTAAAAATAAAGATTACTTAAAAATTATTCTTCTGTTAGATTAAATATAAATGTTCTTATAACGCTGTCAAATTTTTCCGAATAACGTAGCTGAAATAAAACATTAGAAAAATAATTGAAACTGATTAAAAAAACTGTTGATAGTAAATAATAAATAATAATCACAGATATGTATAATAATTATACATATCTGTGATAATAATACTGTTTTGAGATTGTAGTCACTATTTTAGTGATATGAGATAAAAAATATTTACTGATAAATTTTCAGTTGATAGTAATGAAAAAACCCTTCATCACATACTGAACCACAAACTAAAAACACTACGTCTTCGTAAATATGGCATTTATAAATCATTTCGATACGGTCATACAAATGCAAAACACGATTATTAATTCGTGTCCCTTATTCTCTGACTAATATTATTAGTAGTGGGCAGCTAATGAAGAAGTAAAAAATGAGTATACTTAATTAGATTAATAATTAGACTGTACTTATTTTAATAATTCATTTTCAATTTTTTTATAAAGTTTTCATTAGTTTAGATCCCTCCTATTACTTTCAATTGCATACAAAACATCAACATATATTATGTTGACTATGTTGATTAAAATACTGTTAAGTATTTATTACTTACCTACATATTTTAATAATGCAATTGTATGAAAAAAAATCGTGTCAAATGATACCTGCTCGATTTTCCCTCCAACATAATTACGTTGCTACAACTATAGATATAATGTCTCAAAAGACATAAATTCATTAAGTCATAATTACTTATTAGGATTAATTTTTTAATGAACCTTTAAAATTTGAAAATATTTATTTGTTTATTTATTAAATTTACGCTCAAGTACAGTATTTTAATATTTTTTTTTTTTTATACCTATTAATAAAATAAATATAATTTGGGATGGATACAATTTACAAACACTTAGTTGTATTGAGATTTAATCTATTATCTATTCACAAATTAACAAATCTATCGATCTTTATATTGTTTTTAAGTGATATTTAAGTTTCACTTTGAATCATTTTTAAAAAATTCAAGGTTTATTATTGTGGTAAAATTTATGTTAATAGTATAATAATATTATACGGTTGTTACATAACATTTCTATTCTATAATAATAATTGATATTAATTAATAATTTATCAATGAACATATCATATTTCGTCATAATCAATATTATATTTATAAGAGGACATTATTTTCACGTGGGACAAAAAATTTTTATTTCAGTACTCACATGATTTTAAAATACGATGTTTGTATACTTAATTAAATAGAATTTAATTAAGTATACAAACATCTTAAATTTCTTAAATTTCTTAAATTCTTAAATTATCTTTAAATCTCAACTCTTAAATTTAAACCTCTTTGTAATTGCCGTTCTTAGATCGAGTCCACTATTCATTTGTCTATCAACCCAGAGCCTACACTAACAAATTGCAGCAATGTATAATAGAACAATATGTATTGATTCTCCTAGGTATATAACATTAGTAACAATAAATTATAAATTAATTTACAAGTAATCTTTGCAATTACAATTATTAGACAAAAGAAGTTCAACGATGTATACATTTATTGGCAATGTTTGTCGTTTTATTGTATAACTATGTTATTACCTTCAATTCATATTGTATAATGAATAATCTCAAATATAGGTTGATTATATTGAGAATCAACCTTTTCTTAATTCGTTCTTTTTACACTTCTGTATTGTAAAATTCTAGTTTCATGTAATTTTATAAATAAGAAACATTATTTTAATTTCACATAAGAGTTTTTGAAGAAAATCAAAGAAATTGTAAAAAAAAATTACGTAAAACTCTGTGTTTCATGTTTTTACTTAAAATAACCATAAACAATGCTATCCAAAGTATAATCGATAACTATGTTAATTATAATTCATAAATTATTCTTATGTTATAAATTACATTTAATTTTTAATTAAATATAAAATACATTCTTATTTCTCAAAGCCAAGAAAGCTATTTTGATTTTGAAAAATATGCATTATTTAAGCATTGATTTTAAATATGTAATTCAAAGAAATATTGAACGTAAATAAGTTTCCTTTAAATAAATTAGTGATTTAATAGAAAAAAATTTTTTAAACAATAAGTATTATTAAGTATTAAAATAATTTACTGATATAAGTTTTTCTAGACAATAGAATTTTTTAGAAATTATCATAATTATTTTCTATCGCTATTTGACTAAAGTTTGTTAGAAATCGTTGACTAAATTGATTCAATTTAGCCATCTTGGCACCTCGTCAATATTGTGAACCTACAATGTGAAGTAAAATTAACACCTTCAAAATGGAAATTAATAGTTTAGTTCAAAGTGTACGACTCATTGGTCGATTTCAATCGATTCAATCAATTCACGCTAGATACTTCAAGCACACTGTGTATATATGCAAACGACAGCAGCTGCCCTGTCCTTCCACAACTAATGCACTTGATAACGTGAAAGAGGATATGCGCGTTGCGACCGCGTTCTCGTCAGCGCTAGCGCATTTAATTTATCTGGAGAAGTTTCAAAAATAAAACGTCGAGTTTAAACGCGCGCGCACTCACGTCTCAATCCTAGAAATGCATTAGTCTTTGCTCACGTCGGTTGCTCCCTATTATTAAAGTCGGAAAATTATTAGAGAAAATATTAAGACATAAAATATATTTTAAACAACAATTGACCATTGAAATTATTAACTAATTGTTGCCACGTTAATTTCCATCGTAACATTTATTTTATTTTTTGGTGTCTTTCGAGTTCACACAAATTATTCAACATCGTTTAAATGGCTCAATTAATTAACTTGAAACTATCCAGGAACGATAAGTCATCGCCATGGGGATTTCGGTTACAAGGCGGTAAAGATTTTGGAACACCATTACTTATACAAAAGGTAAGGAGTCAATTTTTAAATTTAATATATACTAAATAATGGTTTATATTATATTATCACATATATTACTCTCGCATGCTGTGTCGTAATTAATCGTTTATTAAAATGCAATACAACAATTATTTGCCATATTTAATTATAAATATTTATTTTGTGAATTTATATTTATATTTTTGCCTACTTTGAAAGTACTTATTTCGAGTCCAATATCTGAAAAATGTTTACATAATTAAAAATGATAGGTATCAATAAATGTACACTTTACAATAATACAATTACAATTTACTGCAACAATAATATTAATATGTTAATGGTAATTTCATATCTACGATGCTATAATATTGTATGAAAATAATGAAATTGAACGTTTGAAATAATTATATATTAGATAATAAAACATTTTATTTTAATATTTTTATTTCGACTTATTATTATTATAGTTACACACATTATATTTATTAGGTATCATACATTTAATATATACATCTAAAATAGATTTTAATATAAATAGGGTTTGCATTATATTATACTGGGATTAATTAATACAACGGCCGAACAACTGAAAAAAATTAATGTGATTGGATTATTCAGAAAATATATTTACTATTTTTGATTTATAAATCATTACAATAGATAAAAACTTTACAAATAAAAGCTTAAATGCTGTTTAAATTATAAGTATATGATTATATAAATTTAAACATATATATTTTCATATGATATTTGAAAGTACAGTAACTTCATTTTTTAAATTTCTTTATCAGGTACATTTTTTTTAAAATTGGCTTTCAAATAATTTTTTATAATTGCTTATAATATGCACTGTTTTGTAGACTTACATTTTGTGTTATTTCTTAAATAATTAAGAACTCAATAATGCCTAAAATGTAAAAATATTTATTATACTCGTATATCTAGGCCTAGAACAAAGTTGTAATTAATGATACTTAGAGTATAATCTAGATAAAAGAAAAACCTAATTACTTACATGTTATGTATGTTCTGCATTTTTAAAACTGTAATTTTTATTAATTAAAATTAAAACATATAAATAAACGCAAATACAATTACCTGATTTAAAATATTTGGAAAGTTAAATTGTTATTACCGAAATTTATTCAAGTTCTACAGACTCATTAATTTATATGATGTTATTGATTTTACGTTTTAATAAGTCTTTGTCCTCATGATTTGTGATACATTTCTAAATCAAGATGTTACTGCGTTACTTTATCCAATATAAATTCCATTCAAGAAAATCCAATGTATTGAGCCTATTCCATCAGTATAAGTTACCACATGACTATCCAAGAGTATAGAGTATTTTCTATTTATGTATCTGTACGTATTTTGGCCTTCTCTAATTTGGGCAAAGTTCCCACTGTTACAAGATGTTCGCTTGTTATATATTCTAGACATTAATTTGCAATTAACCCAATTATCCATTACACATCTGTAAAAATGTATCTCCTTGTATTAAAATTATATATTTCCGAGCCATTATTGATGTGAAACTGCGAGTGTAAACTTTATGGTCCAGAGGAGTTGCATGGATAATTATCTTAGATGCAGCGTACTGGTTTGGCAGCGAAGCAGAAACAAAAAAAAATCCTAAAAATCTATTATGCCCGTGATGACATTTGCGACTCTAGTAAATCACGATTCTCCCACGATTACAATGACCCCGTAGGCTGTATTAGATGTATCTAAATAATATTAGACATGCATATATATATGTATATGTAAATATAATTCAACATTAGGTCATATCACAGCACGGTTGGTCATTATAGATAATTGAAAATAAATGCAAAATAACTATTATATTTTGCTATTGATTAAGGATGTTGAAAACATTCACTCCTTGTACCTAATCAATATAATGCGTTTTCGGTTTATCATTTGTATTTTGTATACCATATTATGTATAAATATGAAACATTTTATTTAAATTTATAAAATGAATATGAATATATTTGTACATTTATTCGGTATATTTGCATTGAATAATATTTAAAAATATATAGAAAATGCAAGAAGATTTTTGATACAAAAAATATAGCCTATAATATTTTACTTTAAACAAATGTAAAATTATGTACTATTATTAATATAATATTATAATATATTAATATTTTTTATAATTATAATTTTAAGATTTTTATTGTTTAAATATTCATTTAAAAATGGTTAAGCAAATTAATATTTTGCTTAAAATATTTTCTAGCTCGATAAAAGTCCATAATAAATAGTTTACCAGATTATGAAGGCATATCTATTATAATAAAAATAATTTCAACCTATGTTCATTCGCAAATGGCTTAACACTTGTTTAAATAACACTTGTTTATAATATTATCATTAGGTTGACATTATTTACTCGTCATGGAAAATAAAAACTTGCTAATACGGTCGATGTTTTACATCTATAATATTCTGAAAAATATTATTTAACTTAGTATTCAAACGTTTTTGTAATTTAATATCTTTTCGTTTTTAAAATCTGTAAAAATGTTTTGGCATATGTTAACAAATAAATATTAGTGTAATAAATATTATTAAAAATTACTTAATCAATAATTTTTTAAAGGAAAATATGTACATGTTAATATAAACTAGTATACCCATTGCGAAAATTCGCAATAGATAATTTATTTATATAATAAAAAGTATAGATGCAATCGAATCAATACATAAATAATACATTATTCAAATATATGTTCCGCAACATTAGGATAGACTATATATGAGAGGGTGTAATTATTACATGAAATTATTTTACAGTGCTTCTTTCTAGACAATATTAGCTAATACAAGTAATAATATTAGTATTGTTTGTGAGTTGTTTGTTGTTATATAACTGGGTAAGAGCCAATGAGAATGAAGTATTTGGAAAAGTTAAGAGTAAAGTTGATTATGCACACGTAACTTTTCTTAAACTCAACGAATTTTAGCAGTTAATAGTTTAAAAGAAAGAGCATGGTCCACTGAGTATTCTTAGACTTATGTCAACAGCCTAAATTTATTAGAATTATAGTTATAGAGGTTTGAGTGTAGAAAAATATTGAAAAAATTGAATATAAAGTTGATTGTGCACGCATAATTTTTTCTCAAACTCAACGAATTTAAACAGTTAATAGTTAAAAAGATAGAGTTTGATCCACTGAGTGTTCTAAGATTGAAACGATCAAGATCCATTCATTAGAAGAAGAGTAAGAGAATTCAAATTGTTTGAGTAAAAGTGTCCCATAAGAAATGTACAGGGCAAAATCGCATTGGTGGGAGTTGAGTAAATTTCAATGATTGATGACATATATGTATCTTTTAAGAAATACCTTTCATTTAGAAAAAAAAAAATGAAGAAAATCAGCTGGATAGAATAGCCAGACGGACTAACTTTAATTTTCATACATTTTTTTAATATTTAAGATATATATATATATATATTAATATAAATGTGCCCACACATAAATGTACCATATTAGCACATTTTAAACTATAAGTAGATTTACGATTTATTTACTTATGTTTGAGAAAGCAAAATTACAATAAAAAGGTTTCTTTTCTTGTAAAATCTAACAATTTTAAAATTATTATCTTTTATAAGACACCGAAAACAGTTTTTACAAGTGGTAATACATTGTTCCAATAAATATATGTGATATTTACTAATAAAATTTACAATCAGTGATAACAATTATCTTTAAAAATATTGTACTTTAGTACAATTTATAATTTATTTTAAATTTGAACAGGAATAAATGTCTAGAATTTTAATTAAATCAACTTAAGAGATATTAAGTAAAAGAAAGAAAGTAAAGTAAAGAAAGTAAAGCATTAGTTGTATATTAATGAAGTTTATTTTACTGTCCTATGTATCTTATATTGATACACATATAATGTACAAGTTTTATTAAATATTCACGGTATTCATATTAATTAAAATAATAATACGAAAAATGTTATAGCGATGAATAAGTTAGAATAATTTCCTGTCAATATAATGTATAACAACGCTGATTGAGGACATTTTAAAGACGTGCTTTCCGGTTAGATGAGTTCATCTTTTTGTCCAAATATATAACCTACTATACTATTAAAATAATCAGCAATTTTCATTGTAATATTGTAATAATATGTATACAAATGAACAGTTTATATCTTATTACAAAATATATTATTATTTTAAATATGTCGAAGAAAACACATACTAATATTAAATTTTATATTTATACATAATATATTTGAATATTCAATAAAATGTAGGGTAGAGATTTCTTAATATTATTCAAATTATTAATTAAAGAATATAATATATAACTTCCATTATTTAGTAATGAAGCATTAAAAGTTTTTGCTTTAATTGTTATGTTTATTATATGTATGAGTTAAAAGAGGTGTACATTTAAAAAGGGCATTTCGAATAATAAATTTATTCGAATTACAGTAATTTTAAAACCACGTAATTTTACATTACTTTTATTATGATAGAATAGTGGATTTTGTTTAGGTTTTTAGATAGACAAAAAATAATCTATTTTTATTATTTGTGTGCCTTCATACATTATAAAAGACATTTATCAATCAAACATAATAAAATATTCTAGAATAATTTATCTTCAATCTTCGGAAATATTTTACATTATAATCATTTAAATTTTAACTTAGGTTTATTATTATATATGTACATGGTAAATATATTGTCTATAATCCATTATGTATTATGAAACACAAATCATGTATTCGCCTAGGCTTATAAATATTATTTGAACTTAATAAACATTGTTCATCATATATTTTCTTTTTAAAATCTAACACTAATTCTTAAAGATATGTTTTGAAATTCTACCTCTATGGTTTTATAATCATTTTTTATTCTCACACTGTATTAATAGTTTTAATTTTCGAGGATTTATTGGTTGATGTAATTGAAACTCATTTCTGTTTCTATTTGGAACGTTTCTACAGATGGTTTAATTTAAAAAAAATACTAATTGTAA